TTGAATTGAAAACGAATAGCCGATTGATGCTTTCCATGCGCACGTCATGTCTTGTGAAGATTAAAAGAGAGAAAAAGATAGAAGCAAGGAAACATTATGATGCCCTGAGATTCACTCCAGGTGTAGAGGCAGTCTCTATACCACAACACAATATTCTCATCTTATGAATGACCTCATTTCGAAATTAATTAAATGCAATAAGAAGTTTCATTCACTCATCCGCCGCGAGAGTTTTCACGCCAGACAGGGGGATGGGGAGTAGAGTTCGTAGAACTACGCTCACGTGCAATTCATTGATATCTCAGTCACACCTTAAAGGTAATATAAAGTTTGGTATGCGGTCATGAATTCGGTTCAAATGAACATATTGGAAGCAATGCGATCCTACAATATTCAGTAATCGTTGTTGCGGTTGAAATCGAGTATAAAGTTATGAAATTGTAAATAATAAACTCTTTATGTTGTATAGCCCCTCTCAAGGTCAAGATATTAATTAAGCCATAAAACAATGTTTCTTGACTAAAATCGACCGATTGGCTATTCCCATTTGGAAATTACACACAACAACTACATATTCTGAGATTTTCATGGTCGTAGCTACCATTGTATGGCCGTAAGCGCTATTTGAAATTGTTATATTCAGTTTTTCTCGAAAGCAGAAGTGTTTTAGGGGCTAAATTTTCTAGTACTTATAATACGTCCACAGGGTCATCCAAATATATCAAAATTGTAAAGAATCACTATCCAGCCAATTTTCAAAATTTCCCAAAGTTTTGTATTACCTTTAAACCGACTCAAGTCTGAATCTAAACCGACCTGATTCTTATATTTGCGGTAATGGGGGAGGGGGGGGGGGAGGCATAAATAGTCGAGTTTGACTGAATTGCCTTAAAACCCAATCAAACAACATCAAGTTGTTTGGGCTGGTGTCGGTTTCGTTTATGTTACTGAAGAATCAGTCACACCTGCCAAATTTCCAGACCGGCTATTGAGGGTCGTTTGATTTTTTGTATAATTTTGTTCGCTCGCTCTGCTGTCTGACTGGTGTCTATTCCATTGCTTTGACTGAGGTTTATTTAATTTAGTCGCCATCTGAAGAGAAATGGGAAATGTTTAGGGGTGGTGTTACTGAGCCGACAGAATTATTGCCATCGGTCTGAGATTGCTATTGACCTCGATTTCCGCGGGTCAAAGGTATGAAAAACGAACAAGAGCGGATCAATGATTCTCTGGCGGGGGGGGGGGGGGGGTGGCCCAAGTCCGACAATATTCTTTGACAAGCAACAACAACGAACAAAATTGGAAAAAGGATAAAAAGGAAGGGGGGAAATAAGGCATGAGCCCACTATTCTTCATTTCATTCTTCCTCCTCATTCTACATTTTGGGCGGGCAGGGGGGCACGAGCCCGCAATGCCCCTTCCCCTCTCCCACCGGATCTGCCACCAGCAAAAGTGATTGTGAAGGACAAAACGATATTGCGCTATCGTGTCGTCTGCTTGGCGGTAGGGCAGAAAGGTGAACCCTGCTCGCGAAAGCTGTTCGGCTAGCGTGTTCGTGCATCATCGTCGCGATTGGAAATATAGGGCGTCAGTTTCACCGTTTGGTGGCGTGATGCTTTTCTGAATAGCCGATGGTAATTGCCGGTCACGTGGCTAGTGTTTGCTAGAAGGACATGGCTCTGCTGTGCATAATGAGTTCAAGTTCATTTCTTTTTCCTGTAGTGGCGTATTGCTAAATCCCAGACTCTATTCCTCCTGGGATACATACTATCAATTCCAAATTTGTTGGGCTACCTGTCGCAACATGTCCCGAATCGACCCCGCGGAATGGAGTCATCGAAATATTAATATCTCGAAAGATGAAAACACAATGTAAGCTAAATTATCGATAATCCCTAAGTTGACGGGTAAATTATATCTGATTAAGCCTATATCTCGCAGGAGAGGTTTTAGAAGAATTTATTTTTAGGGAGGGTTTGTGTCGGGGGGCTCGTGGGTCCGGATCCAAGTTCCACAAAAGCGCTTAATTAGTTTGTAATCAAGCATGGTGGGGTTCCTAGCCCCCTCTAGGACCGCTACTGATAGCTCGTATTGAATGGACTATCTTCAAAATTTGCCAAACCTACTTATTGCCTATAATGCTTCATTTAAGATATCTTTCAGAAAAACACAAATCAAACGATTACATAATTACATAAAATGTACCAAATATTCAAGACACAATATCGATTCAAGAAACCTTAATTATAAATGTATAAAAAACCGAACCTTATGATTAAAAAGAGACAAAGTTTCTAATCAAATTACACATTTCTTTGCTTAAAGCCATTCGATTGGCCTAACTTTATATTAGAAGCTCTATAAGGGGAATATTGTACATCTCAATCACATTCATTTCCCAATGAAAATGTTGAATAAAACCTTTAACGCAGGTCCCAATGTACGGGTCATCCTATAAACACTTAGCAGCGCAATCCACCGTAGTTACTGACTATACACTCAATGAAAAGATATTTGAGACAATATCTATATACTCGGGACTTGAATTCAATTATCTAAACGCCCAACCAATGTGCTAGATTCGAAATAGGAAAGAGTGAGGTACAAACAGCTTGCCTCCCATTTAGAGCCGAGCCTGGTTAAATGAGAATTACTATTCTCACTATTATATATAGCGTTCGCAGCAATGGCTTGAACATTTTAAAGGGATAGTTGAATTCTGTTTTCAGACCGCAAATGCCTTCAAAGTGCATGGTCATTGCTCTTATTCTTATCTATGACATTGCTAGTGCCCTGTTAGAACCTAAAATTGCTATGAAGGTAATTTTAGACCCCGAAATGTGTGAAATTTAGCCAATACGATCATACCAATTCAGCTCCACTTTAAAAAAAATACGGTGACCGTTAATTTATTATTTAATTAAAAATAACAATAAATGATCGGCCGGATGGTTGTGCGTAATATAAACAAAACGAAAATGCTACTAAAAAGCCAACATCGGCATTGGCTGAAATACGACGTAAAACTAAGGCGCCATTTCGTTTTTTCAACGGCTTTTTCAAATTATCTAATATTAATTTGTGGTGGTACACAAGACTATTAGAAATCGTTATATGTATGGATATTTCAGCCGTCTCTGAACCGTTTTTGATCAAACATTGAAGATTTTGTCATTTAAATTGTATGTTCTTTCAAATTTGACACTCACTGAATTTTTCATTATCTCACAAAAAAAAAAAAATTGTGTAGCGCCCTCTGCAACAGCACTCAACTATCCCTTTAAAATTGTGAAGGCACCATACACAGTGGGATCAGCCCTCCTCTTTGTATCACATTTGCAAAGTGATGACAATTCTAAAAAAAAACAGTTCCCCCGTGAGATTCAAGTTTTCTTTCTCTCTTTGTTGGTATGCCTTATAAATACGGACATGAAGCCGTGCTAATAAACTGAATGAATTAAAATAATACACTGACAACGAACGGTATTGAAACGTCATTTGATAACGAAACATACGCAACATCTTATCCATGATGAAAACAACAAATGAAGGTAGAACTTTGTACGAATCCAGAACAAACGATAAGTTGACTGATAGAATAATTTTGAAATAAACAAGTTAAAAAAGTTTGAGGAGCATAGTGATATTAAACATAGACCTACCTTTATTTATGTCAAGTAGTGCTGCAAATAATTCAGAGAGACCGTAACCATGCAGTTAGATCTTTGCAGAGCCATTTATATACAGATTTTGACCAACTTGGTATAATTTGGCATGCTTGACATGCTTGTATCTACCCATAATGTACTCGCATGTCCTTCAATGTAGGCCTACTTAAAAAATAGACCGGATTACTAACACATACACATTTATGATGTTTACTACCACGGGACCTATAGTGACGGGGTATTCCAATAACCTGTTATTAATGAATCAACTTCAATATTTGGAATCCAGTCTGCATACATTATGTGTTGCTTTGTCGGGAAATCCTCGGGCAATCAAGCCTTCAGGTTGTCAAATACAACCTTTGCTGAAAAAGTATGCATATAATTTGAATTTGTTAGTAAACTGGTCTATTGATTTAATGTTACAGATAGATACAATTCATGGCGAATAATTTCAACAATATTACAGATACAACATTTGTTTTACGATTTATTGTGGTAGAGATTACAGGACAAGAACTAATTGAAACTCTTACATTACTTGTATGCCTCATTCTCGTAGAAGTGCATTGCTGTTGCCTACGTAATGTAATCAAATGTAATGCACAAATCTTTGTTTAGTGCCTCGTTACAAACTGTTTCATTCACCTGCATGTTACGAATAACTGTACTATAGTCAGATTGCGCATTGGATAAATTGTTAATAGGTATAGGTCTAGAGAAGTATGAAACCAGAGGTTCTCCCACCAACTAGGTATTTATTTTATACTCTGTGATGTTTCAGAAACATTTAGGGGTGACCGCTACAAATTTATTTTAAAAAACACATTTGAAAAATTGTGTATTATGATAAAATCTTTCGAGTTAACAAGGTATGCTTAGTTTTTGAAGTAGTAGCAACAACTCAAAAACTAAGCATGATATTAGGCATTATTTTGTCCTTCGCTTACTATCAATGCCTTTGTCCATGGTAAGATGACAGCACCCCCCCCCCCCAACAGCCCTCTCCTCTATTATCACTGATGTTTTCAAATGTATTGGTGCGTATCGCTGTCCCTCCCTCGGCTGAACTTTGACAAGTAACATAAATGAACAATTAAATCAATAGCTTTATTAATTGACTAATAATTAATAAATTAACTACTTAATTAATAAGGACATCAATCATTGAATAAATAAATGACTAAATGAGCAAAGAAAGTGACAAACATTTTCGTTCTGATATTGGGTTCTAAAACGTATACGGTATAAATTAACGGTATACTGTCTCATCAGCGTGCCATATAGTGCAGTTCACTGATTGCGTAATCATTTCAGTCTGCTTGCGTAACGTAACCATTACACGGGAGCCTATGGGAAGCGATCTAAAGAAAAATCATGAATTTTCTGGCCTTAAATGCAACAAATCGTGCAATATTCTCATTCGCAGTTCACGCCAGATGCTTTTCGAGTTCCAGCTCCCCCCAAAACATGATAGTTTTGATAGGTAAGTGAAGAAATCAGCGAGAGCAATCAGCTTCAGTCCCAGATAACTGTTTTCTTGTCACGTCAGATTTGACAATAAACGATGGCGATGCACTTGCACTCTCTCTCGTGCCCATACAATGATATCTGGTATATAGACTAGGTAGGGGGACTACTTTTGATAAAGGATATAGTATATTTTCTCAAAATCAGTTTTCTACAGCCATGGATTCTATTACTAGTTCTAGATGTTGATGATTGTGCATTCAAGAAAACAGACAGATTAGCAGAAAGGTTGTCCTTACTTTTTAATGTTTTATAATCATTTTCGATGTCACTTTAACTTTTATAGTGTATTGAAATTAGAGCAAAGGAGCCCGTTTTCGGCCACTTAAGACAAAATCCTATTTTTAGGACCCTTTACTTCCTATTTATTATCATTTTTTGTTCAAATCATGAAGCAAATATTATTATTATTTAAACAAAAAAAGAATCCCAGAAAAAAATCACGAATTGCCATGACAATATTCATTTCAATTTTCACTGTTTTGGAGCCAGTTATCGGCCGAGCGTTTCAGTTTACGGCCGCATGTACAAAGTCAATAGGAAGCGCTCGCGCGCGCCGTGCGTTTCCGCGCTGATGTACAGCACAAGCGGGCGGAGCAGGTATCCCACGCCGGAGCTCCCTGGTGCTCGCCTGGCCGAAGACAGGCACAGCGGTGATCGGAAGTTGGAATCTGAATTAGACAGACATATCGTGTGTGCGTGGCAGGGTCCGGCTGCATTGATTTAATACATGCGATGAGATACTTTTGAGCTTGCGACTAACACAAAATCGGGCTCTAAATCTGAAAAATACTTGAAATAAAGCTGATTTTATGGTACCCATATTTCTTACATACACGCGTAAGATACTCGATTTTTCAGATTCGGGTAGCGGGACCGCCGATTACATCGCTAAAATGTGATATTTTAGGATATATTTTTCATTGCAAATGTGGTTCTTCAGTGACACTGGCATGGTATGGTATGAGTGGGATATGTGTTATGCTATTATGCGATGTATTTTAGAGTGATTTTACCTTGCATCCAACCAATCGGCCGAAAACTGGAGCTGGCCGATTACCGGCTCCTTTACTCTAATGTATTATTTTTCCAGTTATTATTTTGGTGAAAAATCGCTTTCTACATCGGGGTATAGTCTATATACTGTAGGTTAGTAAAAGACAATTTCATACAGCAATCTTAGTGGTAATTTTAATAAACTAGACTCTGTATGACTTTATCATAGACTTCATACACTGTATGTTTTCTCCTCAGGTGGAGGAACAGGCTTTATTGGCACAGCACTGAGGAAGCAGCTGGAGGTCAAAGGTCACAAGGCTCTTCTCGTTTCACGTTCACCTGGAAAGGACAGGGTCACTTGGGTTAGTATTTCAAATTCAAATTTTTCATCAAGACTTTGCAGATTTAGAATCATTCCTAAATATATATCAAAACGTGTATTCCCTCATTGACAAAGAATGGGAAGATTTTATGAGATAAATTAAAAGCTTGTATTAACCACATAAACAAGGAAAATATGACATTTAACCTGTCGACTACTGAATCCCCTCATTCCTAGAGGCTCAATACAGGAGCCATCCAGTTCCTGTAGACAATGGGTTAAAACACTCCTTTATAAAGGCTTTATGCATGTTAAAGTAACTTTGAATACCGGTATGTGAAAGATGTCATTTTACCCTAAATCGTAATCTTTTTCCCCAAAATGATTCGAGAATGTTCCAATTGTATCCGCTATCCAGTTGTATATATACCTAATGCTGTTAATATTCATCTCAATGTGAGGGTAGGTGCATTTAAAATTAGATGGAAATATAGAAACAAAGTACTTCATCCTAACTTCAAATAATATTTTCATACTTTTTACTTTGTTTTTCTTTTACCTTCTATGTATCTGTTCACATGTCCCTTGCAGGATGAGGTGAAGAATAATGGTTTACCACAGTGTGATGCTGTTGTCAACCTCACAGGGGAAAACATCTTGAATCCGGCCAAAAGGTGTGTAGACCACTAATAATAACACGCTCACATGAACCAATCAAAATCTAGCGACAGGAAACTGATTGTCCTTCACTTTCCAAATTCGTAGTAAATACCCATAAATTTGATGTATGATTCAAGAATGCTACATTTTTGTACATGAGGTATATTAAAGTTGATTTTACTAGAGTTCATGTGGAAAAACAAATTCTGATGGTTTCCACTAAAAAGGTAGGCCTATTAATGAATTGTTTCTACAACACATGCTCAGGCAGCAACTGCTCCACTGTCAATTTTCAATTTTCAAAACTGAAGTCCCAACGTCAACCCTAGACTATGCCTTACCCTATCTGGAGCTAAATCTCCAGACCTAATTACAATCCTAAACCTGCACCTTTCACAAAATAGAAATAAAAATAGGAGCAAATGTTAGCCAGCTATAAATCACAAGTTCTGCAGTTTTGTGTTGGATTTACAACTGTTTTTTGTATACCAGCAAAAACCTTTAAAAGTTCTCTCTCTCTCTCTCTCTCTCTCTCACTCTCACTCCCTTCCTCTCTCTATCTCTCCCTCACTCAGGTGGACTGAAGATTTCAAGCAGGTTGTTTGGAAGAGCAGAGTAGAGACCACTGCGACTCTGGCCGAGGCCATCTCCAAGGCCAGCAGTCCTCCAAGTGTCTTCGTAGGCATGTCGGGTGTAGGTAAGAATTTGTGATACAGGAGTTGGACACTAGTATTTTTTTATTATGTTTTGAATGAATAAGTGATCTTCTAGTTCGGATAGTTGATATTTCTCCCCTTTCATGATTCCACCCCATATCATGACATAAATCTAAATATCTAAATGGTGCACCCAGAAACACAAAATTGTTTCACTCACTGATTTCCACAGACAGTTGGAAGAAAATGTTGTAATTCTTATGTGATTGTTTTTATTCTGGTCCTTTCCATTGGAAATGTTACAGCCCTGAATCCATAAAATTTCATCTCAGATTACTATGAAATGTGCTCTGTCGTCTTGATACTTCTTAAAGAGTACCCTGTGCATCACACTCTCCTTCGAATAACAGGCCTAGGCTTCAGAGATAAAAAAAATTCCATTAAAAAATGACTGTTCACTTTTTTTCTGTATCCTGTCATTAATTTAGGTTACTATCCATCATCAGCAACTGCTGAGTATACAGAGGAGAGCATGGTAGAGGACCAGGACTACCTGGGGAGACTATGCGTGGAATGGGAGAGGAGTATGGGGCCGGTAGATGGGAAGGAAGATGGAGTCAGGAGAGCAGTAGTAAGGACAGGTAAGGATGGGACTATTTGAAGAGTGAGAAAGGGGTATGGGATCGGGGGAAAGATTGGGAAGAAGGGATGATTATAACTTGCCAAGTTTTCCTCTAAAATTTTCCTTAAAACAAGTCTGTACTAGTTTGGCCAGGAGGGATTAGACCACCCAGCGTTGTCACTGACAGGTGGCTATCTCATCAACTCAGCTCTCAATTAACATAAAAAAAGAGGATCATGGGGGACCAACAGGCACCGCTTAGGCATTGATTTCGATATAGAGGGAGCAAGTAGCTACAGGTAGTACAGTGGGGCTTTAACTCATATTTCTTCATCTTTCTCTTATCAGTTTTAGCCTAAACATGCACAATATCTAGTATATATTTAAAGTAGATTTGAATTACTTTTAGTAATTCCATTCTGAGGACCGGTAAAACAATTTGTTCATAATTAACCGAACTTAATATCATTGAATACTACGGAAGAGTTATCTCAGGCAGGAGTCTATTAAAAATATATGTTACATGATAAATGAATATAAAATCCTATGTCATGCTACGTTATTCTTTCTTCTGATTTCTTATCAGCTGTGGTTCTCGGTAAGACTGGAGGTGCCATGAGCCAGATGAAGTGGCCATTCTACTTTGGCGTTGGAGGCATCATCGGCTCCGGCCAGCAATACTTCCCGTGGATCCACATCGACGACATCGCAGGCATCTTCGTGCATGCCATTGAGAACGAGAGCATCAGCGGGGTGCTCAACGGGATCGCCCCCAACCCCGTCACAAACCATGGCTTCACCAAGGCCTTGGGCGCCGCCATGTGGAGGCCGACCCTCTTCCCGTTGCCGGGGTTCGTTGTGAAGGGTATATTCGGAGACGAGAGGGCGGTGATGCTTCTGGAGGGTCAGAAGGTGTTGCCGAAGCGGACTCTGGAGAGCGGGTTCAACTTCAGGTACCCGGACATAAACTCGGCTCTCAAAGAGGTGGTCTCATGAGGTTACGATCAACTCGTCTTATGAACCTTTCAAGATTCTATTATTGATCAAGCTCCCTCTTTTATCTGTCAGAGACTGGTAATGAAATAGTAAGAGATTGTTTTCTGAGCTGTGAGAAGTGGTACCAGTTCAGGTACTCGGACGTAAACTATGCTTTCATGAGGATGATCAACTTATGTGCCTTTCAGGTGCTCTTGATAACTCTCATTCATCAAGAACTAGCTGTTGTATTGTAGTTTGTGAGAATGGGTACCTGTTCAGGTAATCAGATTTAAATTTTTCTCTTAAAGAGGTTGTTCACGAGTCTACATTCAACTATTTTTGTGTAACCCTTTAGTTTTTTGGCAGGGGGGGGGGGGAGGGTCTTGACCAGAGTTCCCCACTCTTTTACCAAAGGCCTGTTATGGATATAGAAGAAATTGTTTTCTAGGCTGTGATAATGAGTGCAGGTTCAGGTACTCGTGATTGACTCATTATGAACCTTTCAGATGCTCTTAATTTTGTAATTGTTCTCCAGGCTGTGAAGAGACATTCTAATCATGACATGAGCCACATTATGCATAGATCATTATTTTGCGTATGTGTCACAAGTCTTAAAACTTTGTAGATGATACACATCCCACCACCCCCACATGCACAAAACAAACGGGTAATATGTGATGTAGGAGAATTACAACTTACATTGCTATCTTTGTAAGGGGTAGGGGATGTTGAACCACATTTTCATTCTCGGTCATATGTGCTATATCTTTTTGTACCTGGTATTCCTAAAGTGTGTGAAAATGGCCCACATTTATCTCTATAAATATGCCATATATATATTGTTTACTTTTTTGTGTCTGTATTAATTAAAAGTGATGAAAATCATACTTGTAAACATGTGTTGTTTAGTTGTCTATGTCCTACTTCTGCCCATCATATTCAGGGAAATCTTGTTGAAACTAATTTCACGAGCCTAAGCAATTTATATGGTAGAAGTGAAATGATTGATGAATACATTGGGATCTAGTAATAAACCGATTCAGACAATATCTGCCCAACAAACGTAGAAAAGATGAGTTAGAAGCAAAGGAACATAAGGAAATTGACATATTGTCCCAATTACATGCTAAACACTTCAATAGTCCCAAGCGTGCAAACTTTTTCCTTTTCTCCTTACATTCAAACCAACTTGATTGCAGACAGAGAAGTTCACAAAATACTCTACAACAATGATTCTCTTTCATACCACTTTAATTTTATTTACAAATGTTTATTTTGTACTCATTTTCTTTTACATTTTTCACACTAAATTCTTGATTTTATCAATGTGTACACAATTAGTTTTACATGTACATGTATTTATAAAGCAAGTACTTCAATAATTCAATCACATATCTTCAATGTTCTCCTCCTTTCAACATATATTGTATCTTCTTTTGTAATAACGATGCTCTACAGGAACCATCATCCCACTTTCAGTTCTTTTTTTTTTCCAACAAAAGTTATCCACATTTATTGTGAGTTTCTACGGTGGCTGCTACGATAATGCTACAAGATCTACCGATTGCATGATGAAATACGAGGTCATGTTTGTTTTCTTTTAGGTGTTGTAAGCAATGATGATTTCCTGGACAAGCCAAGATTTCCCTGGGGTTGTGAGTGGAATACCTTTTGAACATATCGTCTGTTTTGAGCCAGAAGGGCGTCGACTCCTATCCATCATCATCACAGAGTTAACGCCCTTCTTACTACAAATGGATGATACATCTTAATTTTAAGATCGGATTCAGTTGGCAGCCTAATACGGGTCTTAATAACCAAGCATTTACAGACTATTGCTGTGATCTACCCAATTATGAATGCAAAAGTTGTGCAGTGGCTGAAAATATCTTTTGTGTACAGCACCATGAATATCTTCATTGACCTACCGTTCTGCTCAGTTGCAGAATAAAGTCACACTCCACTCCTCTAAGTAGCGTCAAAGAGTGACATTATGATGATGAGTAAAATAAACATGGCTGGTTTACATTTTGAAACACTGGACTAACATGACATGGTGTTAACAAATGATTCAGGACCACAACTCGTACTATTATATTTTAACGTGCTCATTGGATGCCCTGGTGCTCACAAAAGCTGCTAGTTTGTGCCCCACTCACACACTATTATTTTAACTGAGATACATCACACCAAAGTTAAACATTTAATTTGGCAACTAGAAGTGATTCTAATGGTTACACTTGTGAATACACTATTACTATTGTATAGCAGCTTGATTGACGAGTGCAGGTGCTACATCATGATGTGAACAGTACATTCAACTCTTTGTAATTCAGGCCAGCATTATAAGGGGAGAGAGTGTACAGGTTTATGGATTATTCCTAAACTAATTGAGAGCCAGAGCGGTATTCACTCGTATTTTTTAACACAGACTTAATGCCCATCTGATTCTCAAGAGAGGGGGCGTCTTGGGATCTTATGTACTTTCTTCACTCTGAGTAGGGTTACCCACTATGAATATGACTGACAAAGAAAGCGGACAAAATATACAGTTCCTCAAGTAGACAAAGGAACATCCCTTCACTGCTATTATGTAAATAGGTGAATATGCATGTGACACCTGTCCTACACATTTTTACACAACAGCAGTGAAGGGATGTTCCTTTGTCTACCTGAGGAACTGTATATTTTGTCCGCTTTCTTTGTCAGTCATATTCATAGTGACCGGTAGTCTAACATGCCCTTGTTTACTCTGCCCACTGATGGCAACAAGGCCGTTACAGCCAACTATTGTCAATGGCAGTTACTACCTTATTGCACAGAGCTAACAAATTTCAAATTGACAGAACTCATATGATTCATGGTACAAGAGTATGATTATGAAATAATGAATCTTAGCCACTAGAAAACCACTTAAAAAGAGATTGGAACTTAAGGGAAACCCAATGAAGCATTGAAGATTTTGTTGTTGTAATTGATAAGTAGAAAAGCATGTCATTCTTGTCCAGCCAATCACACTATGAAATTGCTTCCAAACACGACTGTTAAAGCAGGAATGCATTCACATACATCTGGGGAGATAGAAACAATATTAGTTGGCAACTTTGTTCAGAAAGACAAGCATTTCTAGCCGTAAATGACACATTTCTAAATGATAAATTGAGTATCGAGCATATATAACTTGTCAATCTAACTTGTTTTAAATTTTGTGACCTTGGGCAAATAAGACAATAATTAATGTAATCACTATTGCTTTACAAATCACCAACATAGAAACTTTAAAGTTGTGAGAGCATGAGTCGACTGCAATGAGACAAGGACACATAATTTGTAATCTGTTTACAAATTTCCATGCACATGTACTAGTGAACAACATTCTTATATTTTATGCATCTCATGCATGCCTGAAATTGTAGTGAAAATTTGTAGGGAAAGTGGACAGGGTAAAAAAGAAAAACTTTGTCAAAGTGGAAATAGTAATCAAGACGAGACAATAAAAACAACAGCTTGTGTAATGTTAAGTACTAAATTACTTGAGAGAGAAAGAAATGACCTTTGAGCATTCAAATTTTATTAATTTGTGTATTCTTTAAATCATTGTGCATCAAAATGATAACACTTCTGAGATAAGAGTAATTTTCTTCAAAAGAAACCAAACAGCCCCCCCCCCCCCCCCACCAAACTACTTCTTTGAGGCACTAATATCTATTCTCTATAAGAATTACCATTAACACAAATGGACATGACAAAATAATCAAATTTTGAATAAATAAACAAATTTCAATAAACATAGCATTTGGTTCCTGTAACACGAATCCTTCCATAAGGCCCACATAAACAACTTGATAAAACAAACACTGTTTATTTCAATAATAATTCATAAGTTTCTCATCTTTACAAGAATCGCGATAGACATAATCTCTATATAAAACAGTCTAGAAATGGAATAGTTTAAAATCTACAAGTGAATACAAAAGAAGTAACGCACAATAACATTTCATGTCAGAAAGTACATATTCTTAGAACAGACCAAAGAGATGAACTTCATAATGGAGAATGGGGAGAGAAATTGCTGGTTTTACACCAACTAGTGCTTGGTTCATTTCCCCAACTGTATTTTCTGACATAAAATAGATATATCTTACTAAAAGAAAAAGATAAACATACAAATACTGAGCACAGACATAAAGATACACAATGAACAATAGAAGATTAATACGGTTAAGAAAAAAAGATTGTTTACACCTGAACAGTAATGATATTACTTGCCAATACTTCAGACAACTATTCTCTCAATTCAAGGTTACATTTTTTAAGTTACGCATATTGTGGCAGAAATATTTAAAGAGCACTACTTAGTGATACAATAATATTATACTAAAGACGGATCAGCATGTTAAGGAATGTCGTAAAGATGGCTCAACAGACTTGATTCTCTTTATTTCTTTATTCTACAATCAATTAGGAATATCTGGCCCTTTTCATAACCACAACATTGCAAAGCAATTTGTCATATAGTAATTTCAACATATAAGGGGTTTTCCCCCTTGGAAGCTAAATAAGTACTGGCTGTTAACTAGGGTGGTTGAGCTCCATTTATATGAATGTTTTGGCAAACAAAACTTTACTAAAGGAATTTAATTTGTTGTCCTTTCAGTATACCTCTAAATGTTCATTAGATGCAATAAGATAAGTTAAAGCTCTTAGCAAAGCCTTTGTTGAGGACAGATTCATGATGCGAAAGGAAGATTCTGTAAATATCAAATGGGACATGAGAACCCTTCTAGTAACTGCCTGGCCTGTACATCCTATCAATGAAAAAACTATAGAGTGGTCATTCTGTAAGTGACACACAAAGAAACTCTAGTCATTGGTGATATTGAGTGATTTTCATTTGGGGGTATAATAAAACATAACACTAAAAGATTTTACAGGACCCATTTCAAGACATCGCTCCAAAACAACATTTTAAACTCTGCATTAGACGTCCAAGGAAAGAAAAATTTAAGTACCGATCATTAGGCCAATTTTAGGGGATTGCAAGCAATTAATTGCACAGTATACATGAAAAGAGAGACAGAGAGAGAGAGAGAACAATCACAACCACACATATCACTTAATGATAAGTGTGATAATTGGGAATACAAACCGAGTATGTTGCCTGTAAATTTTCGACTCCCAATCCCGGTTATTGTCAATAACACTGGCAGACAGGCTTCCGATCTCACTTGGATCAGATCACTCACGAGTACTGATGCAAAATGGAAATTATAATATCTGCACATCAGGATAAATTCAGAAAAGACTGGCCCCAAGGGAAACAAAATATGCAAGAAATATTGCAGTGTCAATAGTCATTCTGAAAGATATGTTGATCGCAGTGTCTTAACATTAACTTTTGATTAATTGAAAACTGGCAATTGATTTCAAGTTCAAGTCCATATAATAAATCCTAACATGTACACCTGGGTTGAGAGAAACAAAGACAGATGAAATGCCTCGTTTCATAAAATGCAAAATAGGCAACGATTTAAACTGCTCTGAACGTCATGATTCAAAGTCAGGAAACTGACTGTAATCCTGTCGTATTTGACCAAGAAAAAAATCGCTATTTCTAATGACATCCGAAAATAGTTGTTACCAATAACATTACCCTTAACGACCAAGAACAATTATCACTATTACTTTTGGCAACATAGAACAGTTGCCACTATTTCTATTGGCATTCATGGGAAATTCAGAAAAAAGCTAATGATCTGTGGGTCATGAACATTACCAATACATGTATACCTGCATCAATATTTTTGTCATAGACTTCTCCTGGTCCAAGAGCATATATATATATATATTCTGATGTTTTTTACTCTTCAAACCACACGATAATGGAGAATATTGCTACGTGCAGCACATAATTGACGGTATGCATATAATTGTGGTTTATAAATGAGCGTGTCATGCAATGCAATACATATACACTCCAATAATCACCTCATCTCACTACGATTATACAGTCTACACCCACAGTAAAATTTGAAATTCACCAAATCTGGCCACATCAAATTTCAAATGGAAGATGTTGGTTTGTGTAGAGTAGGCAGTGGTTTTGACAAACTTTAAAGGAGTCACCTAGAGGGCAATTTCAATAACCTAGGATATTTTTCAAGCAAATGTACACATGACCATTGACTATTGGGAGGATCGGGCACCTTTGAATGTTTTTAACAGATAAATGGCGCCTTACAAGTGCTGTGGATCATCATCATCATATTGCCTATAGAAATTCTGCATGCATCTGGTATTGTTCCTACATTTCAAAAGGTCGTGTACAAGGTTATTGGAATTTCCTAGTGCTGTATTTTGACACTTGATTGGTGCTAGTGTTGAAATCGAATCTTTCCAATATGCGTCATATCCGTCATTCTCCACAAGCAAAGGTATAAATGCATGTATTAATGTCTTTTCGGGTTAGCAAAGCTTGCTCAGAAGGGAGTATACACACTTTAGAATCCACTATAAGTTCTTGCAGTAGCAAATTATTGATTCAAACTTGTGAATAATGATGTAAGAGCTCTTCTTACTGCTCTCTATTTATTCTGTAACTTTTCCCTTGTACAGCTAAAACTTCACACATTGGGCTCAGATAATATTGCTTGGAATATGCAATATTATCTTTCTCTCCCACACTCATACTCTCTCTCTTTCTCTCTCGCACCCTCTCTCTCTCTCTCTCTTTCTCTCTCACTATCTCTCTCTCTATCTATATATCTATCTCTCGCAGTATGTATCTCTTTCTCTCTCTTACTTGTCTTCCTCTCCTGTTTAGAATAGGCTAATAATACCTATTAAAGAGTGGGAAGGTTCCTTCGTCCCCCTTAGTCAATCAATTATCTATACTCTCTAGCATTTAGTTCTAATTTCGTGCTACATTGAGTGTATATAAAGTGATCTTACTTTCTCTGCGATGTCCAAAGGCTTATCCCCTTTTGAGTTCATCACATCAAGAAATCTTCATTGCAAAAGAATCATTAGCATAATAAAAAAAGAATTCATCTTTTCTCTCTAGATATAGTAGATTCAACATATACATACACGATAACATAACAAAAAAGGGGGGAGGATGAAGAATAATTTTGACAGTGAAAGGTGCGTTGAGAATGAATGCCACTATCACGTGAACAGGTTGGTGGGCATGTTGGCGGCCTCGCCCGTATCGCTAACAGGTACTCCATCGATGCTGAAGGAAAGCTTGTACTTCATGCGCAGGACTGCGCCGGGGGACCTGTTGACGACCTTTATCGTTTGGGTGACGAAACCAGAGTTGTTAGGGGGGACAAGATCCCCAGATGGGGGCAGCATCACGAGCTCAAATGTCTGTTGGAGGAAAAGAAGAGAGGGAAGTTTTCATGAAAGTTATTCATAAGATACAAGTTCATTTACTCAAAAGTTGAGAAGTTTCACATCAGTTTCAACTATTTTCTTACTACAAGCATTCGATTTCAGATCCTCCATATTATCTACAAGTATTTTTTAAAATTCTTCCAAACTATGTAACAATACTAGAAATATATGTATACTCAAATTTTATGAAAATAATAAAAGAGGCATCATCTACTGCTTTTAGAAGTGATACCATAAAACAATATAGCATATCCAGGCATTCAATATCAAATCAAACTTTGAGATTGAATGCTTAGACAACAAGGCTTTTGCATAGACTGATTATTTTAACAAAACTGATTACTGTTTGGTTTGTTTTTGGTTTAAGAAATATTCATATGTGAAATTTATACTTGATAGTGAATACAAAATACGGTCTTGATCAAACCCGAATTATCTCTAAATTCAACATATCTTTTTTACTTCACACGTTTTAGAATGTGATCCTCATTGTTTTCTTACTGCCCAGATCCCTCCAAGTGCCTTTTGCAACTGAACTAAGTTACCTTTGGTATAGCAGCTTGGAACAAGAAGGCATTAAAGGGAGTGGCGGTGCTGTTGGTTGCTTTAAGGTTGATGTTGACTGCCCCGGACACAGCATCCTTCTCAAAAGAAAACTCCACCTTCATTCCGCGACTTTCCACTGCCGTTACTGTGGGGAACGACGACCCTACAAACAAAGCAAGTAAATAATCAATAGAAGCAATAAGAAACATACATGTTTTTCATTTTAATAGCCATCTCTATTAATGGTAATTATAAACACATGATATATTTGGTTAGTGTTACCCAATTGCTTAGAAAGAAAGCATGTGTGTCCTTGAAAGTTAGCAACCAGAGGACCTACAGCTTCAAGTGATCTCTGAGGGACTTACCAAAAGGGTACTAGCACACCTTGGTTTCAAACCTGTGATCTCCCAGCTATGAGACTATGGTCTACCATTGTGTAAGTAATATAATATCATATGCTGAAAGCTTGAAAGGCATCAAACTACTTTAATCATAGTGTTAACACCCTTCTGGCTCTACACAGATGATATGATCTCAAGCAATAACATTTCATTTTTCACGTTGCACATATTTCCATATGGCCAAAAATATTGAAGAAGAGAAGACTTACAAAAACTTTTCTTCAGTCTATAATTACTGAATGATATTAACAATTCCATACTGCAATATTGTCACACTTCAACAATTTTAACAACAGGGACCTGTTTCACAAAGCCTTCTTTGAATGACAGATGACAAAAATCAGTGACAAATCTGCTGATAACCAATGAGAAGCAAGGATTTGTTACTGATGACAAGTTTTGTGAAATGGGGCCTGATCTACATATCCATCTCCAAGCTCTTACCACCAATATTATTAACAGGACCACCTAGAAGACTATTCATGCCTAGCGCTGGGGGCACCGAACCCGGAGGAGGCACAGTCTGCATGGAACCCAGGCCATCCATGAGATTCATGACGGGGTTAGGCGTGGGCTGGACGGGGGGAGGTGCCGAGGAGGGAGCAGGAGCGCTGAGGTCCAGACCCCCTAGGAGATCCAGGAGACCGTCTGTGTTGTTACCGACGGGTTCTAGCGGCTTGGCGGGCTGCTGCTGGGGCAGGGAGTTTGTGATGATGGGCGAGCTGGGGCCGCCTCCTAATAGGTCTACTAGACTTGAACCCTGTAGAGGATAGGAGGAAAATGTTGCAGAGAGGATGAGTGAAGTGAAGTGTGAGAAGTTGAACTACATGTACAGTGCTCTTTATGAGACCAAGGCAATTCTGGAACTCATGATTAGAATGACTGTGATTTCCAAACTGTGACGAAGGTTACATGAATGTAAGGTTGTTCTTTGTGACAGAAAAAAATTATAAGCTGCACATTTCTCATCCATATGTGTGTATGTCATTTCGAAGGTACAATGCAAATTCAGGAGAAAACTTGCTATTTAGAAAACTAGTAGTCCCTCAAAAACAAAGAAAAAACACCCCCAAAAAAGATTTTTTGTTATGTTTTGTTTTGTTTTTGTTTTTAATTTTTTTTATTTACAAATCCTGAATTGCATTTTAAAACAAAACACTTGCTACCAAGGAGAAAAGACTCAAAATGCAATGTATTTAAACCACTTACTACTTCAAGTCCTAGATTGGCTTTTAGCCAGAAAAATAATAATCATAGGACATTTTAGAGCTCCTTGAGAAACAATTACAAGAGTATATCATAATAGGGATGGGATAGTGATACCTCATCATGTGATGGCGCTAGGCTAGGTCCTGTCCTGTCTACCTGCTCATCTTCCAACATTTCACCATTGTTCTGTGTTTGGCCTTCTCTCTTCTCTCTGTTCATAGGTGGCATTCTTTCTAATAATGGCCCTCTGAAAATCAAAGACAAACACGAGTTAATACATGTTCAAGTCATTTGATTTATCAACAATACTATAAAATACAAACATACCCTCTAGGGGTCAATAGCACTATTCAAGGTCTTATAAACTGAAACCCACTTCTAGGACAATTCCTACATACTCGAGTAGGAAATATATTTAAAAAAATCCTTTTTAATTAAGTTTGATTTTGGTATATCATGAGAGTTCCTTGAGACCACAACCACAAGTTATTTGCTGCTTAGTATTAAATGGGTGAAACTAGCCACTTTAAAATGGTTTCACTTTGTACTCACGCTATATGTTTGTAAGATTTAGTGAGTGACATGAATTCTACTGATCTCTGTTGTAGCTCCATATCCAACGACCGTGTGTAGGGTTTGACTATCTTCTCTATTCTCCTGTGAACAAAAAGAGAAAGCGAAAGAGAGATACAGATAGAGGAAAGGTATGAGAAATCAATTTTTAAAAAAGTTTGAAACATTTGGAAATTATGGGATATGATTGGTAGAAATCAAGAAACAAACATATAGGAAATTTAAAGAAAGAGCATAGCACCTGCAACATTTATGATAGCTTCTTAAACAATTTTAACAAATCAGAATATTTGGATTTCTATTTGTTTTTACTAAACTGGTAAAAAGATTTTCGTTCTTCTTTCTTTTTTTGTTGTAAATAACGAGCTATTCTGATTTGTACACTGGTAGGAATGATGCAACGTTTTAAAATCCTACAACATTTTAATCACTTCTATTCATTGGTGATTTGCAATAAATAACTTACATTGCAAATCCTTTAAAACTGATGTAAATTAAACAGAAAACATCCATAACTGGTGAAGTTATTTTTTTTTATTTCTGAAGCTTACTCATTTGTTTCTGAGAAGCGGACACTGAGTTTAAGGATGGCCAGGAGGATGTATTCCTTGGTGATTTGTGATGACGTCGTCGTCTGGATCATCGACTCTAATAAATCCAGGACATCATCTTCTGATACCTGTACAATACAGAAAGGGGTGTAAGTAAAGTTTTAATCCCTCTTCCTCATCAAAGCATGAAGACATGATGATGTTGGGTTAAATAATCTTTATTGTACATATCATGCTAATCAATCAATAAATCAGAAGAGTATTCATGCAAATTACACATTACCGAACACACCATGCTCATCACTACAAGTCATGTATTACAAAGAATTTGATTTCATACAATGTGATCAAAACCAGAATATATAAATCATAGTCCTTTTATAACAAAAGGGAATTTAAAGATTTCTCACTGCTATTTCTTTTCTTTTCTAAAACATTTTGTCATGTATTAAGTACTTTCTCATTAGCCAATTGGACTGCATATTTCCATGTAATATCTAAAAAAAAATAAGTTAGAACCCCTATGCTAGCAATGCTACCATGTGTAATAAGCCCAGAGATAGTTTATTCATTCCAGTCACTCAAGTTTAAAAGAAAAATAGAGTTATACATTTAAAAGTCACAATATTTTATAAATTGGTAAAATCAAAATGAAAGGGCACTCAAAATGGATGGATGAAAATACTGCAATAACGTCACCAAAAGAAATGTGTTTTTATCATTTCTTCCAGTCATAATTATGCATGAAAATTAAACAACACACTAACACACTCAAAGAGATCACCATTTAATTGGTGCATGGCAATATATTAAAACTACAATCAAGGTTTTCATTAATCAACATGCTGTTTTACACTCAGGCAGTACTTTGAAATGTGCAGACACGCTTTATAATACAATAACTTATCAAAGGGATGTTCATACACGACTTGAGGCAAAGAGAAAAAAAGGGAAAGTCTCTCAATTTCAACTACAGCAATCCATTTCAAAAGATGGAGAGAAAAAAGGGGCTTATAACTTCCAAAAGTTATTTTAAGATCAGTCTTTCAATACAAAATTACTATAAATGTGAAAGTCTATAATCCAACTCGATATATACCCTTAAATAATGCCAATATTTCATATTTTTAAAACAATTTGTTCTGGAAATACCTACAAAATCCCCACACTGACAATACCATCGGTAGAAAAACCAGAAGCATTCATGAATTAAAATATTATTAGGGTTAAAGACAGGCTTTTGTGATAACACATTTAAATGAAATAGGATAAAAAATGAAGAAAATTATGATTTGGTAGTAGGACTCTGATAATCAAACAGTGACATATAAACACCATGCCTTAATATCAAAGGACTACTTCCCAAATCGGTGCCTAAATCCATCATGGCCTCATAGGGGGAAATAAGTATGTGCCGTGAGAAAAGAAATTGATAATAGGGTTAACTACCAACTTGTCTGATTTGTGAGAAAAAAACCCAACAATATTAATGAATACCATTTTAAAAAGTGCAAAAATTACTACTTTTTCTAGTAATATATTTGTTAATAAAGTTCAGACAAGTCTGCTGAGGGGTGCAGTATAAATATTTTATGGGACTACATGGCATAGGAAACGGGGTGAATAATGATTAGTTGGTTAGAAATGTTTTACAGTTAATACTACTATATATGCATTACAACAATCGGCACTTGATTTGAAAGTTGACAATGCACAATATTATCAAATCAGTTCTAAAGGCTAGCTTGCCAAGGTATTTCCAGTTATAAAGGAGATGACCCTTGCCTAGAAAGATCTATGCACAGCAAAAGCATGTTACAAGTTGAAGCATAGCGAGTAGAGTAGAAATAGTTAAATCACCAGAAGTTACGCTCATTCATAGGTGAAATTCAGGGAGTATCACAATAGTTCCTCTCCACAGAGATTGTGTGTGCGAGGGGACTATTCAAAGCTACACATGCATATAAATTGACCTTTAACCCTTCGCTTGTGTGTCACAACTATCTCTGTCAATGTTGTACGAGTGGGGGAGTTATAGATGCCCTCTAAAAGGATCAAACCATCACCAAGTCTGAATCCTCCTAAGCCCTTGAGCAAGAAGGTTGGATAACAGTGTTCTAATTTCTGACGTACCTGAACTCTACAAGAGGGGTTGTGGCGGCAGTTATAAAGGCTTTCAACTTAACTGTTTTCAGCCTGCATTTTACAGTTTCATAAAAATGTAGGAAAGTAATCTAAAACTATCTGTGGCTAGAAGAGGAATATCTAAACTCTAAAAGAAGGAAAGTTTAAGGATTAAAGTAAGTTGAGATTTTTTTCTTCTTGCCTATAAAGCAATGTGCAAACACAAGTGACATCCAATGGCTATTTGGGACCTGGATTAAAAGCAATAATGTTAATAAGCCAGCGGTTTTCAGCTCAACCATGTTAGACCTTCACCCTAACTACCAGTAACTGAACAACATGTGGTAACTTTTACACAAAGATAGTCTAAGAGGATAAGGGAGGCATTTCACAAATGACAGTTTTTGTTATAAGCTACTGAAATCCTTGCTTCTGATTGGTTATCAGCAGATTTGTCACTGGTTTTTGTTATTTGTCATTGAAAAGGGCTTTGTGAAACAGGCCCCAGGGTTAGTTTGGGAGTTTTTTCTAGTCTCTGGGGTAGTCAATGTGCCTGTACACCTCCAATGGCTCTGTGAGGCCTTGATTAAAAGCAACAATGTTAATAAGCCAGCAGTTTTCAGCTCAACAATGTTAGACCTCCACCCCTAACTAACATTAACTGAACACAACAGGTGGTAATTCCGACACAAGGAGAAATCTAAGAGGATCAGGGTTAGTTTGGGAGTGTTTTCTAGTCTCTGGGGTAGTCAATGTGCCTACACACCTCCAATGGGTCTGTGAGGCCTGGATCATAGGACGGTGCTTTGAGGTGGTCAACGCTGAGCTCTGATAGGTAGAAGGTACGTACCTGGATGGGCTCCTCCTCGTCTACCACGCCCTGTACTAGCAGGTCCCCATACTCTCCAACGCACCATGCCGACACCTGGGCCAGCGGTTGCTGTATGTAGGGAAGAGAACAAGGGGTGTTATTAATGAATATGAGCTACAGCAGATCAGTGTACAGATAAACATATCGTAGCAGTACCTCTATATAAAGTCCACCTGCGTACTATCTATATATTGTCTTCCAGATGGAAGAAACGTATGTAGTGCAACCTGTCTAGAAAGGCCATCTGTTGTCTACAGCGGCCACTTTTTTTTTGTTTCCCTTAGGTGGCCTTATTTGACTGTACATCCAAAGCAGTGTTGCACGATGTGCTGTGCAGGCACTAGAGCCGTGGGATACTGCATGAAACTTGAAAGACAGCAATCAGCAATATACCAATAAAATAGAATGTACAAAGAAAGGCCTACATGGGCTCTTTAAGCTTCCTTAGGGAACATCAACAAAAAGCTGAATAAATTGATAAAATAGTTAAAAATCAATTTACTGAAAATTATGATAAAAAACTCCAGATTTAGCTATCTTCTAGGACAGTAGTCAACCCAAATAATAATTTAGATTGACTAATGTTTTATCTTATTACTCTCTAGCTAAAAACATAACAAAATCAGTTCATCTTTACCAAATTTGTCATAGAGAAAGAAATAACAGAAAGCAAATTAAGATCTGTGTTCAAAAGAGGAATGCAACATCAATTCACAAATGCTGTAAAATTTGTGGTACATGTTTTATGCATCCCCCGAAAGCATTTTGCACATAGTGAATGGAAACGGAATAGGTGAACAGGCACCACAAAACCACTAAAGAGTTGAATGGTATAATTTACAGGTGAACAAAATAATTTGTAATGGGGCACTGAACAAAGATGTGTGCTTTAAATTTGATTACGTTACAAAAATGGTCTATTAGACCAACTAAACAAAACAAAAGTATGATCTCTGGGATTTTTTGGTGGTTCATGGGTGCCTGGTCAGTGGTCACATTTATAAGTGAAAATAACTCATATTCTCATAATTGTCCTGTCTTTTGTTAAATCAAAATGCTGGTTAACTTATTTGAACAGTGCAGATGTGATTTTCATATTGTGATCTAAAAATTATGCTACTCAGACTCATCCAATTCTATGGATTCATTCTTCCTTGTACATGAACATGAACTAATATTTTCACAATGATAATCCACATGGTTTGTGTCATTAATAATTTTTGCATAATTTTAAACAATAATTTGCAATATTGCAACATTGTAAATTTGCATAGAATAATCTATGCATGAAGAAAGGAAACAATAAATTCAAGCATTTTGTGCACTTGCTCCCTAAGGCCTACATGTAGTTCAGATATGACACTATGATGATGTAACGTGTTGTATGCGTCTCATTTCTGTATCTTATAACACAGAGCTCGGTGACCTTTGTTAACCCGAGGCAGTTTACCGGGTCATATCTGAATGAGCCTTTATACTATTTAAAGTAAGGATAAGCACTCAGAATACATCAGTTTTCATGCAAAATTAATATTGTATTCCCTTCCATCAAAGAGAAAAACATATGCAAACAAACGGGTAAAGACCATGCTAAAATCATAAATTGAACTGAAATCATAAAAGAATACATCAGTTTATAGACAAAGAGTATTAGTACAAAATAAAACATACATAGAAACAAAAAGCAGATGTAAATCCCTCATGTACTGTACACATGTAGATAGCTAAATACAGGTAACACATACATGTAATTTTGTTGTGACATGTCCTTGGTTATTCTTAATCCAATGGAAGAATTTCTTTTGAGACAGATGATCGATAAAGTTCAACTCATTTTAATTCAATATTCCTAACATTCAAATATTTTCTTTCGCATTCATTGGAGTAATCATTCAAACCTTTGGTTATCATTGACTTACTTGATTTGACATTAAATCATAGGAGTCTCATTATAAAGATTAGATATTGCTGATATACGGCAAGTTAATTGAGAAACTAAATCATGAAGATGAAAAATTAGCTGGCAATTTGGTTATATATTTGCAGAGGAAAAAAAGTACTATGCATAGTCTGATTTAATTTAGTCTGACACTTCAATATGTAAAACTTGTATCCAGCCATGAGCATATCAGATCGATTCAATATCAATAAATCAATATTAGTTTTAAATAAAATCTTTAATGTATGTGTGTAAATTATTTTATACATATATATCTCAAATCAAGTCCATTTGGGAACAATTTTTCGCCGGTTTTAGTTAGCATTGGGTTAGTAAGCTGGTCAATAGCAAGCATGAACTTGTTATTCCATGCGGCTTTCAGACTCTGTCCTACATGCATCCCGAGCCAGTACTCACGCTATGGACCTCTCGGTATGGTTTTAAGCTAACTCCAGGACAACTCCAATGCTGTAGACCTTCGGCGCAAGAGTCGCGCCCGGACTGAAAGCATATTGTATCACAACTTACATGAAATGTACTACAAACATACATGAAATGTACTCGAAACGTACATGAAATGTACTCGAAACATACATGAAACTAACAACAGTATGGTATGGCACTTAAGCTAGCATGCCATAAAATAAGCAACATATCCTTTTTGTTTACATCTCTGTATAATGTTGCATTACTGATGTACTGCTGAAAGTTCACTAAACAATTCATTACGGTACATGCTTTCCAAACCCCTCTCCGCACAAGTAACAAACGGCAACAACTCTTGATTGCTTCATGATATAACTACATCCTTGTTTCTTGCCAATAAGCCTAATTGCTTTCTTTCCCTCCCAAAAATTTTCAGACAGTAGCATACAATGATATTCATCATGAGCGGCAGCTTAAACAGAAGCAACTCTATACTTTGGGGTTTGGGTAGGTTATTCAGGTCATTTTCATGCAATACATGTAGGATTTTTTGTTCTCATTCTCTGCAAATTTTCACAAATAGCTGACAGCAGGAACAATCATCAATATCATTTTTGAAAGTACAGTATTTAGAAACGAACGTGGAACTTTGTCAGGCATATGAAATAAGCATTAGATATTGGTCAGCAGTGTTATTTTCAGGATATCATCATCGTAGTGTGTTACCACATCATTTTTCACCATGCTGTCATTTAATTTTAGTTTAAATATGTAACTCATCGTTTCCGTAAGAGTGATCAAAATTTTCAATTGGGATAGAGTAATAATAGTTTATCCTTTACACTTAGCGATACTGTCTTGACCAATATGAAAGGAAATGAAAAAATTGGAATTAAAAACACAAAGGGATTTAAACATAAGGGACTAGACAATATACTTTGGTAAAAATGCTATTTATTGATTAATTTATTTGTTTTAATTAATATTGTCTATGGAAAGCAAGTTTTATCTAGTCCCACATGTTGAAATCCTTGCTATCCCTTTGGTGTAGTGGTTCAGAATAACTCAGTACAGGATTGCCACAGAAAGCCTGGTTTGAATGAAAGGTTCAGATTTTCCTGAGGGTCCAGAGTGACAATTTTGGGAGTCGGTGTGAACTATGCACCCATTTATATTTGAAAATGTAGGGTTTCCGTGTGCAATAGGCTCCTGTCTGTATGTCCTAGGACTCTGTTAGCATTGAGTCCCGGAAAGTTGTCCAAGTCAACTGTCAATATAATACCGGGCATGGTGGCTCAGTGGTTAGAGCGCCCGCCTCATGAATGGGAGGTCGTGGGTTCAAACCCCGGCCGAGTCATACCAAAGACTTATAACAATTGGACCTCCTGCCTTCTAGCTAGGCGCTCAGCATATTAGATTAGAGAAGGATAGTAATTATGCAGGGCCCGCTGGAAGAGCAGTTTCATAACTGAAGTGGCTACCCTGGGTAAATAAAACGTTATTATTATATAGAACACTTACCTGACTGATGTCGTCTTTGACTGCCTTGTAGAGTTGCTGTACAGTGTAGGCGTGCAACGACGAGGTGTCTGAGATCATCTGAATAAGACTTGCTACCGATTCATCAGGGACGTTGTTACCAGCTGTTGAGAGGACACGCATCATGGTGTCTATGTGCCACCTCTTGTTTGGAGAGTACCTGTCAAGCACAAGGAAAAAAATAGTAATCATAATGATAATAACCTAAGCTTTTACCGCGCACTTCATCTTCAGAGACAATGTCAATGCACTATAGAAATTAGTAAAATAACTGAATTACAGATGACTACTATTAAACTCACAAACTAAAGAAATATCAAAATAAGAACAAGATTAGTCATAGCACTTTTTAACTTTCAAATAATCCTCTTCAGGCTTGTTCATACATGATGCAATAAAGCACTGTGGCAAAAAAAAAAACTACTTCACATGTACTTGAGAAAGAAAAAAAAAATCCATGCATAACAAAGGCCCCTCAGCAAACTTGCGTACCAATGTATCATAAAAGCAGTGCTCTAAACCAACTTTTTCAGAAGGGAGACTAAATTAAAATTTGAGTCTGTATACATGAGCCTCGAGGATTAAAATTGTGACATTTTGGGGGGTCTGGACTAATATTTCAAACAGCCAGGTTACACAGGTGCCCATTAGTATCAAGCACGGTAAAAAAAACACATACTAATGTAAAGCACATTTCCACTTAATTTCTTTTGCTGCACTGGTGTTTGGAGCGAGTTTGCCATATCATATGGAATTGAGGCCCAACTTCATGCTCTATCCTGACAATGACCTATACCTGCCAACCATTCACAGCCAAAATTAGCAACCTTTCACGGAAAAATTACAAAGTCTATTTTGCATACTTTTCACATAGTTTTTAAGAAAAAGAGGAGGATCTGGGGTTCATAACATTAGTTTGAAGACTTAAAGGTAGAGATCATTCCTCTGAAATTGGAATGATTGGCAGCTAGATGTGTTTATATAGACTCACCTTTCGCATGCGAGGAAGATGTTAGATGATGTGTAAGACTTGAACTCAGGGTCCGACCTGTCTAAGAAGAAGATGAGTTCCTTGACCATTGTTCTAATGTTGGATGTATTGATGAGGGCAAACGATAGCTCTACTGCTCTCCTGCAAGGTAGGAAAAAAGTTATGGTTGTCATAGGAACTGGAGATTTTAAGATTCGAGTCAATTGGTGGTATGTAGTAATAGGTGACAAGTGCTTCGACAAAACATGAATATTTTTACATCTATAGATGAGGTGCTATAATTAGGCATCAAATAGAATGCAAAGATATCTTTCATCCAAATACCCATTCACCACACCTGGATAAGATGTTCCAGATAATTCATATAAAAACTTTAAAACAAAATTATTGGAACACTTGTGATTATGTGGATTATCTGCAATATATTTGAAATACTACTCTGCCTTACAGTATTGCTTGAAATAAAGTCACACCAAGGTCTATAGGATAATGCATGCAGTTACACGTAACACAGTGTGAGACTGTCAACTTTATTCCAAGCAATACTGTAGGTGCAATACTAACAATCTCCATTTTAAAAGACAACTGAGGTTACTCCACTGCAATAGTCGGTACAGCTTCAAAGTAAAAGAACCTGCCGTTGTAACAAAACTTTCATGAATCTTACCTTTGGATAGAGACATCTGGATCTTTTAAACAGTCCACTATAGTACTTCTATGCCTCTGCACTGCATTGTTGTCTGCTTGTACTGTCTTCAATAGTGTGTTTAGGGCAACATATCTACAAACATAATCAAAAGAAAAATGAAATGCTAGGAATATCATTGGATATTTTAAAGCATATTTTATCCACCATGCAAGGTGCTCAATGTGCTCCTTTATTACCTGGGCTCTGGCTAAGCTACCAATTTCAGTGCTCACAACATCCCTTTCTGCCTGTAACCATTTGACAAAAAATGGGTGGACTTTGAGATGCAAGAACTAACAGAAGAATAACAACAATGTATGACTTTCCACAAATCAGGATTAAATCTTGAGAGCATATTTAATTATTAACCCCCAAATCATGAGCCCAGTTTAGACTTTCAGTGAATAATATATTATGTAAGAGAGAAGAATGTTCCCAGATTACCAGGTTTACATAAATAGCTTATTTGTAATCGTTCTATTCAGTGACATCAGAAAGGCAGGGAGTTTTCTTCATTCATAGGAAACAATAACCTTCAATTCTTGTTGTAGCCAAAAATTTATGTCTAAATGTTATGAAAAACAGCAGTTACAAAGTCTTTATTAACCTTTACATAAAGATCACTTTACTAATGTTCTGCTGGTTTACAAGTTCTATGCATAGTCCAAGTAATCATAATTTGTTTTCCTAAATGACATTAAAAGAATTCCGGAATATTTCAGGATGAAATAACCAAATGTTCTGGAAATATATCTATCTTGAGATCCTCTCACCTAATGTTCTTATCTGTGTTGAGGAGGAACCTTCCCAGGATATTGATGGCTAGTACCCTCAGACCGCTCTCCGACTTGATGTCCATGATGCAGAGCACCGTCTCGTAGAGGATGGCATTGCCTACGTTCTTACTCGTCTCGGTGTTAGTAGCCACCTGAGCCAGGATGTCGTTCATGGCATCGCTGTTGTCGGCGTCGTGGTGACCGAGAATCCTCAGCAACCGAAGGATCTTGACCTGTTAAAGATTAAAAGGTCAGAGGGGAAAGTTTTGGGGATCATTATCTTGCAATATGTGATAGTTACGTTTAATATTGTTGAACCAATCATCAAAGTTGTCAACTACCTAGCACACAAAACACTTTATCCTTTCTATTCTTGTACACCATCACAAAAAGGCTGGCAGCAAAAATTATATTAATAAAAACAACTGCAATCTGTGACCTATTCCTGCACATGGTATCAAGTTCCATACATATATCTCAGACAGTTTTAAAATTATCACTAATATATTTATTCTGTGTTCATATATTGACAATGCTGCATTTTATAATAATAATAATAATAATAATCCGGTTTTTTATATAGCGCTCAATACACCGATCCAACGATGTACCTAAGCGCTTTACAATACAATACATATGGAGGAATGTGTGATACCCATAGGTCGAACTCCTTGTTAACTTGGTGTCAAAAGATGCATGCATAAGACTCTAGGCCATATTGTTATGAAAGTTAGCTGTGCAACAAAAAAAAAAAGCATGTGTCCTGGAGGGAGGGAGGGAGGGGTGGATTCTGCCACCCCCCCCCCCTCCCTTTTGGGATTACGCCTTGTACCATAAAGAATGACCACTGACTGACCTGAAGGAATGGATCACTAACTCCAGAGACATCGTGTTCAGGTGAGTAGCCAGACATGACCAGGTTCTTGAGTATCCGGACAAGGTTTGGCACCAGCTGTAGACAAAATGGATGGACAACGGTCAAGAATGATAGATAAAACAATCTCTTTTAAAATTACTCCTGTCAAACACAAACATTCATGTAATTCAGCATTCATTTTCAATCTTCTACATCAAATCTTACTTCAGTCACTGATTTATTTAAATTCTTTTTGGAAACTGTCTCTGTGACATTTTTCTATAAAAACCACTAAAAAAAAAAACTTTCCCATGGACTTTGTTCTTCATCAAGACCTATTCTGATGCAAACATTAGTAAAGATCATTTCTTTCTCAAGACTGCTTTTTCTCGTTTCATTTACGATGCCTTAAAACAGATTTGTTTACTACACAAGCCTACAGGGGATGTACATGTAATTTAAAGGAAGAAGAGGGATCTGTGTTATTATGGAATTTTCTTCTCGATTTTGTTTGATGCAGAGGAGGAAATTTGTGGAGCCTAAGGTCTAAGGTAAGAAAATAATGAATTCAATGTAATCTCCCCGATGTATTTTCTCAGATCAAGAACAATTTGCAAATATCCATCAGTTCTTTGCGTCTCACACGATGTAAAAACAAAACCAGGTTTTTCCAAGTGCTCTGATATTGTGAAATTTGCAGCAATGGTTGCTTTTACACACAAGCTTCATGTACCCTTCACCATGGGCATGTGACATAATGGCTATAAACAATATACAAGCATGCAAAATCTTTTGTAGGGAAAAATTATCTGTATGAAACGCCAACACTGATATTTCCAAAAGCAGGAGTGCATGATGTTCTTTCACAGTCATTTTTTTTTTTTTTTAATTGTGCATAAAGAATTGTGCTTGCCTAATTAATGTATGGAACATTAATTGTATCACCAATTTATGATTTAAAAAAAAATATATATATATATAATGTGGTTAGATGCGCTTGAGTGGATATTTCAAATAAAATTAACAGTCTGGGCCAATAAATCATCTGTAACCATATTTTGTTCAACAGGATTATTTGAATGAAAACTTTGATACGTTAATTAAAAATGCAACCTCTAGAATCCCAGAGCGAGGCTTGATCAGAAAACTGACCAAAAAAAAGTATTTTAAAATCCAGATAATTTTTTGATGGTCCGGAAGCAGGCATCATGCATAAATAAAATTCAACACTGGAAAATCAAAATGATGCTCAATATCAAATTACACAATGCATTCAAACAGAAACGTAGATAATTTTGGAGAAATCCCTCTATATGTACAATATACCTTGATAATTAAAAAAGATATCAAGGGCTTTATGAAAATTGACCACTAATTTTCCATCTTCATGCTGAAATAGAAATCCCAAAACACAACCAGGACCGAATATCTCTTAGAATACAATGTTCACAAAACAAAGGCCTACAGGCTACTTATATGACATATACAAGTAATGACAAAAAAACAGTTTTATCGTTGCATTCAAGATCACAAATAACGGATAACGCAGGCATACATGTACATGTCACAACTTAGTGAAAATAATTCTGTAATGTCAAATAATGTAGCAAGCAAATTTGATCAATCAGCACTCTCCACATGGAAAAACTCCAACTTTGCACACAAATAACAGGAAAAAATAAGAGATTAAAGAGGGGGCTAAAAACCACCTCCCTCTTACAGTACAGGGGTTGTAAGTAGAGAATGCTTGGCTATCAATTTGCATTTATAAATAGTTTTAATTTTCTCAGTATTATAACATTATTTTTTCATTATGGAGAACTCTGTACTTGTGAAAGCATAAAAATCACTAAAAGTAAAGAAGAAGGGGGGGGGGGGCATATTCACACAACATTGTACATAATTGACAACAGATGAGTCTACATGTATAACGTACCTCCAACTGTATTAGGCAGACAAGTAATTTTGAAACAAAACATAGAAATAAACAAGTTTCACCAAAAAGGACTAGTAAATGATTTAAGGAAAATTTGTATAAATATATCATCTTAAGAATGACATAAAAACAAATTAGTTACATGAAGAAACTAACATTCCCAAAGTATTCTCTAAGAATTTTTGCTGTGCTTGAGAGACAGAAATGGTCAAAAATCTTGTATGCTGGATTACATTCTTGATTTTTTCCCCAATAGAATGTATGGAAGATTTTAAAAATTGAATAAAACTTTCCACAATTTGCAGACAAAGAGTCTGATCATACTTCTTGTCCGAACTCGAAAATGGTCACCCATACATGTATGTACCGGGCACCTGTTAGTCACTGATTAACATGAAATGAACCCCAACCCCCCCCCCCCCCCCCCAACCCCGTGAAAAGCAATGCCTTCATAAAACATGTTGACATTTTTGAACATTTGAAAGACACATCACATGCTTCAGGTATGAGCTGAATCTTTTCACCATTAAACCCATAACATGGCAAGAAATAGTCATCAAAGTCAATAAGAAAAGAGTTAAGATTTATCAACAGAACCCACAGCAACTTGTTAAATTTAGATACATGTATGTGTCATAAGCATACTCCACATAACCTGAAAAAGCTGCTACATGAATATGAATATATATATCTAATGATTCCACATGAAGATATACCATACCATTGATTAGCTATGTTAAATCTACACTACAAGGGGTGACAGCTAGAGGGCGCTATGACTATTAAATAAATCCTCTCCTCTTTATCAAGTCTTACCCCAATTTGTCTTCTATGCGTATAGCTGAGAGACATATCAAATTTCATCTGCATGCAAGTAGACAACCCAGAGATATGATCAAGAACAGTATTCAAGCATTTGTTAGTCCTACACTGTTGCCAGTTAATCATATCCCAGTTTTATTTTATTTTAGTAGGTCGTGGTTTTAATCCTTAATCTGTAGCTAGTAAAACTCGTTACTTTTTGCTAGGATCTATGGAACTAAAAAATACAATTATCCAAACTAATCAAATTAACTTAATGCTTTCAAGGCACTTAATAAAAACCTTAAAAGTACTATGTGGGAGATAAAAACTGAAGAACTTAACTTGTTATCACCTGACGAAGATGTATGCAGAAAAACATGAATTATTTATATTCCTTGTAAAGTATGCCAACTATCAGCACACAGCCTTTAATACAGAAGTTATCTAGAGTAACCACACTGCATTTCCTAATAACTGTCGCATTTAAAATTACTTAGCCTACATGTACCCCTTTGAAATCTATATGCCTCCAAGCAGGATGGAAAAAAAAGAAAAAAAAGAAAAAAAAAGAAAAAAAAGAAAAAAAAAGAAAAAAACATTTCATGGCCCTTGGCAAGTATAGAGTTGCACGTATCAGTCATGAATGCAAGCACTTTGGAAATTGCTTTCCGTCCCATTCACCCACTCAGTTGGGCAAGCAAGACCATTATGGAAACGATGGATGGACATTTCCTTGTACTGGTGACAGTGAGAACTCGGCCAAATTATGGGTGAAGATGTAATCAAACACGTCAATACAGAAAAAATATGATTTAAGGTTTAATCATAACAAAGAAAGCTGTTTGAATCAATAAATTATCAAAATATCAAATCAATAAATTGTCAAAATATCAAATCATTAAATTTTTGAAAATAAATTTTGAAATATTTCATCTGTAACCAAAAAATACTTCTCATCAACGAAACATTTTGAAGATCCACTTCGACCTGAAGGGGAAAATAGTCACAGCAAATTCTAAATATGATGCACACCAAAAATTCCAGTTATAAGAAAACAGCACTGCAAAATGATCCGTGCAGTGCTTCACTGCAATGGTCTTATTGAAGGAGGGCAAGGTGGAATGAATATGGAAAGGCCAATGTTTACCAACCTTTTTGAAGTGAACAAGTGTATCGTGACTCTTCTCACACATCTCTGTGATCAGTACTACAGCTGTAAGTTGCACACCTAAGAAACAAAGCAAAGAGATGAGAAAGATTAGATTGTATTACACCAAGTTTCAAGGTTGACTGGATCTTTTTTTTAAATTCTAAACAATTCTGCATCATTTTGTTTTCACCAGATGTAATATCACAGGTCATCACTTTTAAGGTCGTTTAGGATTATGTATGATTAGAATTCCGTATTTCTCAAAACATGCAGCATCTATAAAACCTTTCAGTTTCCCAATATAGTGTACAGACATATTTCAAGAGAACCTACAAACATCTAGCGAGAGAATCTAAAAATAGCATTCTGTTTACATATTTCACTTTTGTTCAGCATATAGAAAGAGTAAAAAACTTTGTTATCATTTCTACATCAATATTTGGCAGTACTCTATACTATTTACATGTAGGCATCACAAGTATTTCCAATTGAGCATAAATTGCTACTCTGGGCAATAAATTTGTTTTTTCCTGTTCAATTTTCAAATGAATTACTTGATTTCAATGTACCAGGGCCAGAGCAATTTCCTCATGATGCACCAAGTTAGATTACCAGAATAAATTCCCCTTCATTGTTTTCTACAGATTTTTAAGGCTAATTAAAATCCTGAAGCTATAATGTCCACTTTCAGTCTGACAAGAAGAGTTTACATTTGTACATGTATCTTACCATGATTTTTGTCATTTAGTAGAGAGCGAACAGAAGGGATAAACATCTCCATCAGTTCTGGGACCTTGCGAACGATTCTTACGGCACATAGCACAGCCTGTATCAAAAGAGAACATAAATAATGAAAGATGTATTTAATAAAATGTTTGAGCAACAACAGAACTATGATTGTTAGCTTCTATATAAGCAATCTAAACTATGTGGGTCGTCATTTTGTACATTTGCAATTTTTTTAAAGAGTAGGTTAGTAGTTCCATGGTAAAACGCCGTGCTCTTGTTTCATGGAATTACATGTAGTTCTTACAGTAAAATGAATGAATGTTAATGACACTTAAGAAAGCACAAAGTAATATCAAAATTAAACAAACAAACTAAACGAATGTTCATCTACAATTATAACAAATTGTAATCTTTCCACGGAAACCTAGTCAATACATCCCTACAATCTTGTGTAACAGAGTATTTAGATAATAATAATGACTTCAAAATTTCAAAGTAAACTGTACTGCCATGGAAAACAGTTGTTGATTTGTAGGTACACCATGCTTAAATCAATTAAGTTTGGAATTCAAACAGTTTAATCACACTCTATTTAATTAAGAGAAAAAATTACCTTCTTTCTGATATAAGCATTTGAAGTTTTGATCATCTTCTCGACCTCCCCAGCTAAATCTCGGCTCATCTCTGGCGAGCAGATACTGCCTAGACAGCTCAGTGAGAGACCTACAATGTATTGTGTGTTATGACCCATATCACTGTAGAGGAGAAAACATACAAATATAGTCAGAACTGCTTTAGCATTCACATCTACATAACAACCACCTGTCTGTCTATAAAGACATTTTTCTAAGTTCCCAGTGAGCAATGTTTCTCAAGCAAATGTGTACAAAGGAGCCTGTATGTGAAGATACAGTAACCTACCAATGAACTTTCAGTCCACTTGAAGGGGTCTGTATCTAGTTTCATTGTACTTGCATAGCAGGGCTCAACATTGACAAAGGGGTGAGGGTAAATGACCCTCTTAAGTTCAGAACGGCCCCTACTTTTCAAATAATTAGTCAATAAAAATCTAATCCGAAATGGCAACTCGGTTTGTTTAAAGGCCCACTGAACTACTTGTAGCTACTTGCTCCCTCTATATAGAAAACAATGCCTAATCAGTGAATATTGGTCCCCCATGATCCTTTTTTTCTTGTTAATTGAGAGCTGAGTTGATGAGATAGCCACCCGTCAGTGACCTTCCTGGGTGGTCTACTCCCTCCTAGCTAAACTAGAACAGACAGCCTTTAAGTATCAAAATTTAGGCAATCCAGTAGCAATTTTTTTGTGTGTGTGTTTTTTTTTCTCAAGCTCACAAGCCCCTTTGCCTGGCAAGTCTTATCACACAACAACTTCCTTGAAGCATAAATTTACATGTATTTAATTGATATGAAAAATGTTTTGTCGATTTTTATGTTTCATATTTTGTCAGTTAATAATAAATATAATAAACTAAAAACTTTCATTTAAACTTGTCGAACTAAAAAAATCAAACAAAATTTGACATTGATAAGATATATACCAAAATAGCAAGAGATTTTGAGAGATATACGAACAAGGAAAGAGTCCTACCGCTACTTACTTTTTCATTGAATTTGTCATGAGTAAGTGAACATCATGTCGTTCATCTAGAAGTAACATTGCTCCTAAATAACCTATTCTCTTGTCTGCATATCTTGGGGATGCTATCAATTTCAAACATTCCAGCTGTAAAAGAAAGAGAGAATAGTAATCATAACATCAAGCACTGTTACTTTACTTCATTTTTATTATCATAACTGTTTAAGCAACAAAAGAAAAAAATCCAAGGCATTTCTGATGAATAAATGAATAAATTTGACAATAGATAATTAGATACATACAAATATGGAATTTAAAAGAGAAGAGTTCTTTATCGGTATCAAAAAGCAATATCTAATAGTGCACACTACTACTATAACTTTTGTTTTAAAATGAATTAACGTAAAGCGTGCAGAGTGAATTAATTACTGACATTAAAAGTTCTTCGCCAAAAGAAGACTAAGTGTGAATGATTAATCAATGTACAGAAAGGGCAGTTTACACATGAATAGCAATTTATGTCAGACACATACATGTACATGGATATCAACACATTGAACATACACAATGAATAACTGTCACACTGTACACATGGTCATCGAGCTGAAGTTCTGATGATAATGAGATCTCACAAAATGTAAATTCCATTGATTTTCAAACAGTTGGAAGAAACTGAATTCCATTTTTTAAGAAATATAATTTATTTTGTTTCTCTTAGTTAATAAAACACTTAATTCCAAGGGCCCCTCTTTAAAATCGTAGAGGTGTCGTGGACGAGTGGATATGTCACCGGACTGTGGATCACAAGGTTCGCGGTTCAAGTCCCACCGCGGCACTAATGTCCTTTGGCAAGACATTGATCTACATTTGCCACTCTCCACCCAGGTGTTAAATGGGTACCCGGTAGGATGCGAAAGCTAATGTGGTTAGATTAGCAAGTGTGCGCTTGTAAAAAAGACGCCTGGCTGGAATGCTCCCCAGGGAGTGGAGAATGTGCATACATTGTGTGCGGGTAAGCCTGAATCCTATGACCGGGGTAATAATATATACATCTGTAAAGCGCTTTGAGAGGGCCTCCGGTCCTGAAAAGCGCTATATAAGAACTAGCTATTATTATTATTATTAAAATCAATTCTTTACAAGGTCTACTGCTTTTTTCCTTTTTCTTTAATACAAGCAGTAGGAAAGAACTCAATAAATGTGCACATACTAAATTATGGAAGAGACACAACATTTAAAGCGACTCATACTGTAGTTCACAGCACTCTACTCTACAACAGACACAATGCTGAAATTTATGCAAACTCTTGAGCGTTTGTCTCGAGCAAACTTCCTCCAACGATGCACATACTGGAGAGGGGCTCTACAAAATGCAATTACACACTTCCAAGGGTCATTGTGCGATCTCTGTATGCAATGCTGGTAGGGGTACATGTATTAGGTATGCCGACTCATGCACATACAGGAAATTGAATATGTGGGGACAGCTTGATGGTATTCAATACCAGCGTCCATGTTCAAATGTACATTGTGTCAAGTATCAATTCAAGCTCTTCTCTGTAGAGAGTATTGTCTGTTTATTCATATTTCCTTGCTAATTATTAGTGTTCAAATTAATTCAGATTGTTTGTTTTTTGGTTTTCAAGTTACTTAATTTATTTCTTTTAAGTACTATCATTTTGGGGTTATTCCCCCCCTCCCAAAAAAAAAATTCTCTCACAAGGACACAAAAAGAAAATAGCAATTGGCGTGTTATGAACAATAATACATAGTTAATCAATATCACTGCATACATGCCAACATTTGAAAATCAGAAATCTGTACACTATGTGCGCAAAGCGCACATCACGAGCGCGAAGTCCTTTTAGCCGGGGTCCAGGGCCCGCTTTAGGGCCCTGGAAGCTCTGGGTTTCCAGATGCTCTCTGGTGCAATCTGAGCCTATTTTAGGGACCATTTCCCCTAAAATTCAACCCAAGTTTATGGGTAATTTTTTGTCATAGTGTCTACTACTAGGTCTAGGCAAATTCATGCAAAAAAATATATTCAAGAAATTGACTTGAAAACACATCATCAGACAATTAGTCTGAACCGAGTCAGGAGCAAATTTGAAGAAATTATATTTTTAAATGTTGTAAAACCAAAGATATAAGAAGAAAACTGACCAAGTATCTGTACTAAAAATCGTACATTCGACAGCTGAAAATGACGCGCACGGTTGTGGTACGTGCGTTCTCGAATCCAAAATCGTATCTCACACACACACTCTCGCCATACCGCGAATGGTCCGTCGTGGGGAGCTAGCCGCCCGAGTTTGCCAGCGATACCAACGCACCCTCGGAGCTCCGCAGCACAATTTTAGCGGAACTCGAAAGGTTCGAGGTGGGAAGGTGGCGGGCTAGCTTTTTGCCATCGTTCCTTGTATTCCTGTTTGTACTTCTGAATTCGTCTTGCTGCTGTTCCGCTCATTTTGACAGATTTTCTTCCGAGACAAATCACAAATCACAAAGTATACGGTACCTCGAAACACGTACTTCGCATGGGGACCCTATGCATACGGTGCGCTAGCCGCGATAGCCAATGCATGCATGCTGCGCTGATATGCGTGCAAACGTATAGAAATTATACTTACGAGATTTGCCAGCGCAAGTATTTACGTACGGAAATGTTACGTACGGAAACACATATCAGAGTGCACGTGGCGCGCAGCAACACGCTGCCACTGTACGTACATATCAGTGCACGCTGCACGCACCTTGCGCAATGCAATCCGTTCAGCACTCGATCGGATCAATACTATGTATGGAAAGCCAAATTCCCCAAAATCGGAACGTTCCGTTTTTTAGGGCTATAAAAACTTCAAAAACGGAACAGTTCCGTTAAAATCGGAACGGTTGGCATGTCTGTCACTGTACACCTTTTTGTTTGGCTACATCAAATTCAAAGTCCTGGTGTCCATTTTAAAACTCATTTTCAAGATTCAACTAATAAATTTGAATATGCCATGCAAACATGTGATGTATATTTGCTTAAATACTGTGGGAAGGGTGAAATTATTAAATACCATGGAGAAGGAAACAAGGAGAGAAATTATCTTTGATTTAATCACTTTTACTCATCTACTACTAAATGAAAAGATGTGACAATCTACATTATAACACAAATAAAAGTTTTTGCTGATAAAAAGAGTTCAAACCGATCTCTTACCTGACCAAAATGAGCTGGATAACCCAGCATGTGAATATAGAGGACCTTGGCCACATTGCGACACCTGTAAGTATTGTCCTCGTCTCGGAACATTGCCCTGATCTGGGCAAGTTCTTTCTGGACAAGCGCCCTCTCGTCCGCTGCCGTCCGGACCGCCCGGATGTTACGGATCAAGTCCTTGAGCCGGATTGGGGCCGGCATCTTGGACAGCTGAAGGGAAGGGAAGAAAAAAGATTGGTCATGAGAGAGAGCTTTGAATCTATTGACCAGTTCAAAAAACTTTGGAAGCCCCACCTTTTTCTGCTGGAGAACAAAATAATTATTCTGTTTTATGTACTAATGTAAAGCGCTTTGAGCATGTTTATGTAAAGGCGTTATATAAATATCAATATGTAGTATCGTATTGACTCAACTGGTCTTCTTGAAGTGATAAATGTTGCTTACAGTAAGTGGCCAAACACTTGTCACTGCAAGGAAAAGGCACTTTAGAAATGGATTTAAATGGATTTCGATGAAAAAAGGAGCAATGTGATGCATGAAGTAATATGAACTTGGGGCATTTGATTCTGATATGATTTGATTTTTTGTTATTGCTACATGTTGCATGTATTTCTGTTAATTCTCTGACATTAACTTCAATTAACATGGAATATTACATGTACTGATGACTATGCATGTAGTTTGTATACATGTATATACCGTATGTGAACTTTTGAGCAGCCTGCAGTGAATACTCCATTAACTCCCCATAGCCAGTCCGCCCTTAAGAAAAGATGTACAGAGTACATGTACACTGTATGTACATGTACATGTGCTCAGTATTATTAAACCAAACAAACAAAACAAACTACCAATATATCTAGGAATAATAATACAGTAGTTCCTCACAAAAATGACTGATAAAATGTATTTTGATTGGTTTGCACCTAAATGAATTATTTTTTTGGTTTGGGCAGTTTGGTCAGTGAACTGAAATTTAGTTGGGGAATATTTTTGTGACTGGTCCATTCAATGCAGCGCAGCCTATAGGGGCCACTCCGCCATTGAAATTGAATCATTTTAAATATAACTGCAATGTCGTACATACTTGCAAACATTTGAATATAAGAATACATGGCCTTACCATGGCCATGTATGCAGCGGCAGTGCAACTGTCAATATGTGGTAAATCTTTACAAAAAAGCAATACAAATTTTGATGCTCGATCGTGCAGCTTTTCAATGCACGCAATAAAAATTCTCAAATCGTGGCACATGATAAAACAAGCTAAATTCGGCTTTAAATTTAAAACAAGGGAAACGCTCTCGGCGGTCTCGCCTGCATAACGCAATTCAATATGATAAACCAGAACGTCAATGACGTAGCGCTCATCCGCATCTCACAACAACAAATATCGTAAATTTTAGGTGGTACACTTTTGAACTGGTCAAAAAATAGAAATTTGATGCCCTGGAAGGGACATAATTTCATTTCATTTGCATAAAGTACCATAAATAATCAATAGCGCAAAATCTCACAATTCTGTGTAGAAGTTTATTGTTCCAAATTTAGCTCTACCAGATAAGGCAAAATCGGTCAAGAAATGAGGGAAAAGAAGCAATTTTTGTTATTTTTGGAATAAATTTGCATAAATTACCATAATTAATTAATGGAGAACAATTTCAAAATTCTGTGTAGAAGTTTAGTGTACCAAAGTTAGCTCTACGATATAAAGCAAACCAAATCAAAATCGGTCGAGAAATGAAGGAGAAGAAGCCTTTTTTGTGATTTCGAATAAATTTGCATAAACTAGCATAGCATAGATAATGAATTTCACGATTCTGTGTAGAAATTTTAAATCCCCTCCTAGCCCTATCATATGAAACAATCAGAATCAAAATCGGTTGAAAAATAACGAAGAAGAAGCATTTTGAAAATCTTAATGTTGATGCCACAACAAAGTCTAAGTTTGTTGACCTTAAATGGCCTTTGACCTTAACTTAGTGACCTGAAATTCTACTCACAGGATCGGGGAGACTCGATAACCCTATAGTCCAAGTTTCATTGATCAAGAACTTATACTTTCAAAATTATATCAAAAATTCAAAAACTTAACCTTAGGTTAAGTTTTCGATGATGATGCTACAACATAGTCCAAGTCTGTTGACCTGAAATGACCTTTGACCTTGACTTTGTGATCTGAAATTCCACTCACATGATTGGGGATACTTGATTACCCTATAGTCAAAGTTTCATTGACTAAGAACTTATACTTTAAAAATTATACCAAAAATTCAAAAACTTAACCTTAGGTTAAGTTTTTGATGTTGACGCCGTCGCCGTCGCCGTCGCCGTCGCCGTCGCCGTCGCCGCCGCCGTCACCGGAAAAGCGGCGCCTATGTCTCGCTTTTTGCTACGCAGGCGAGACAAAAAAAACTATTAAAACAAAATAAAAAATAAAATAAAATTTTGAAAATCAGAATATTCCGAACAAAATCAGAACATAAGGGTTGGCAGGTATGTACATTAAATGTAGCATTCATTACATGTTCAATCTAGTAATTCACCAAATATTTGTGTTACAGTACTTTTTACATGTCATTGTCATTTATTGCAATGTTCATGTACAAATACAAAAATGTACAATCAATAATAATCCTTGTATTGAATTCAAGAAAACCCCACTGAATAAAAAATGAAAAAAGGGAAAAATCATCAAAATATGCACTAATATTGTACAAACCTGGTTCAGCCTACAAAATAACCTACCGGTACACACACACAAACAAGAGCGTTCACACAAAATGTACATAACATGTGTACAATGTGTGAAATATACATGAACATGTGTGCACACAAACACACACCCACAATCCAATATAACCAGGATGGCACACAAGCTTGCATCTGGTTCAAAGGCTTAATCTCTCTGCATAAATTGGTAATTACTATACAATTCAGATTGATTAGAAATTCTCTTTCTCATTCAGCACTGATAGGACAGCATTTAAGCATTGCCACATCAAAGCAAAACATCAACACTGTGCATCTAAACAAGGTCAAATTAAAGGAGGACTCCAGCCCTGGAGAAGAAAAAAAAGGAGTTCGTAAATTAATTTCTCTAGCCTTTAATTCATATGCATGTCTCTAAATGAAAGATACTTATCTATAATATACAGTCAGGTAGTATAGTAACATGCATATATATATAATTTTTTTAATGCTTTTATCATTACATTGGTTAATAGCATATTGTAGGGAAGTCATTTCACATACATGGATGGACATTTCTTTTAAACTGTTGTTTTTCTGTCGATTAACTGATAACTATTTTGAATAACCACAAACGTAACTGTTACTAATTCACCTTCTAAAACCTTATATTGAGTTTTCAATTTAGGTTTTTCAATGTGTGTGACTATCAGCTACAGGTGAACTAGGGGGTAAGGGTCTTCTAAGACATACCCCTAAAAACACAATAATAATAATTTATTTAATTTTTTTATGATGATAAAATAAAATGAAAATAAATTCATGAATTCATTATTTATTGTCATGATTAAATGATTTGGAATCTTTTGAAATAAAATTAATTCACGCATATTTTAAGACTATCATTATAAGAGCAGGGACTCCGGGGAGTTCCACTTATTATTTTACCAATTAAGAGAGGGGAGTTACAGCCACTTTAAGACAAAATGAATTTGTTAAACATTTTTTTTTCCAGAATTATATTTTACTTATTGAAATTAAGGAAGTACATGTACATACATGTACATGTACCATGTATTGTTACTGTTTATAAAAAAAATACAAATTCTGAAAAGAAATAAAGAGTTGCCATGGCTTAATCAATTTTCAATTCTCAAGATTTAGCAGTAGTTTTCGGCAAAGCGACCATGGTTTTTGGCCATAAGTAAAAAGTCAATGGGCAGTGTGTTTGCGGGCACCACAATAAAAAAAAACAGCGGCCAGAGCCAGCATTGGACACTCCAGTTCCCGCATGAAATCTGGCTGAATTCTACTCTACCTCCATGATTTGAGAAAATGACATCGCAATACTATCGCATCTGCGTCTTACACACAGGTGACTGCAATGTGACACTTTTCATTTTGTTTATTTCCATTTCCAACAAAAAATAAATTAAATACATGGGTTTGCATTGTACCATCATTGGTCCACAGTGTACAACAGGCATATAAAAACAGGTTGGTCATGAAGAGGACTGATGAAAAGCTGGGCTTGTAAGATTGCAGCCCCCTATAACTTATAGTTGCAAAAAAGCATATCAATAATAAGGGAAGGCACAAATACATAAACCGGTCCAAGCTTGTGACTTACAGGTGTAGATACAGATTTTTTTTTTCTTCAATACAGCACCGTTTTTTAAACCATGTTGCTTTAGTCTTACGGACACACTCAAGAGATGGGCATTTGCAAATTTTAGGAGCGGGCCCACTGTTTAGATCGCTGAAATGTGACATTTATTAATACTTTTTATCCATTGCCTCTGCTGTTCATGTGTGACTTTAGAAAGTACATGTACTGCGTGATATGATAATGTGCATTTATAGATGATTTGCAATGTATACGGTGGACCAGCCGTAAACTCACCCAGCTGAAACTCCCAACTTTACTTGATCTAGAATTTCACAAATTTATCTGCTGCATATTAAAAAAATATAAAGCATTTGGAGAAAATATTTTGATTGTGTATTTTAATTAAGTACTTTAAATATTAATATAAACAGATAATATTTCAACTGTTCTTGAAGTGCAATAACATTCTGATAAATAATGGTACTAAAATACAAGGAAATAACCATAACATGCCATCCTAAAAGAAACTGATTTATGAAGGGTTTTAGTAATTTTATCAAAAGAAACATAATTGGACCAAAGTCTTAGAGCAAACAAGTACATGTATGTGTCAATATTTTTGTCCTTTGCAATCCAAACAAAGATTTATATTTGACCCTTTCCACTGCATAGATTATTTCATTAATAACCAATTTTTTTTTTTTCATAAATATTTTTTCTCTCCATATTTTTCCCTCCACTTGGATTTTATTGATTTTCATTTGCGACAAATAAACAAATATTCAAGGTAATTTACATTTATAACATAAATAAAATTGACTACTCAAGAAACAAGTATTTGTTGAACTGTTGAGATAACAGAAAACTAACAAATTTCCAATAATTTATTTCTGATATTCATGGAAGAAAAAAACTAGATGGACCTTCGACCGCGCGCAATCGAAAATGATGCCTCCGCCATGGAGCAATTTTACAAACCAAAACAGAAGCGAGCTATTTTTGCATACATAATGAGCCCTGTGACCTCTGACCTCGTTACCCTCAAATTTAATCAGTTCATTGGCTCTGCAAGATACATACATGGCTCAAGTTTGGCGGGAATCCATCAATGGGTTTTTGAGATAATGCGATCACAAGCAATTTTTGCATACATAACGAGTCCTGTGACCTTTGACCTTGGATCTCGCGACCCCAAAATCTAATCAGTTCATTGGCTCTGCAAGATACATACATGACCCAAGTTAGGCGGGAATCCATCAATTGGTTCTTGCGATCACGAGAACGGGACGTACGTACGGACAACCCGAAAACATAATGCCTCCGGCTACTTTGTAGCGGAGGCATAAAAAGGGAAAAACAATACAAAACTGAAAAGACACATATTATTGTTTATTTATTAGGCTTTACAATTACATCGTTGTGACCACTGCTAATGATTCTGAAAATTGGCAACACCTAAAAGATGATGCACAGTAATCCAGTTCGGAGCTGCAGTGTACATGTATAATATAGTATGTGCGTGACCTAACCAAGATCGACTGTACCAAATTGTGAAGACAACCGAGTTCAGGCTCCCCGTCACTACCAATGACACCCAATCACCCGCCCCAGGCCCCGCCCCAGGCCCCACCTCAGGCCACACACCCTCTCACCAGCACAATAGTGACTGCTACATCAGACAAGCTCCACCACTGCACCGATAAAAGACAGCATGGCACAACCACCCCAAAACATGCGGCCTAGCGCCCCTAGCCATGACAAGGAGCCTAAAAACTTGCCAAGGTTTTATAAATATGACACAGTTTCGCTTAGTGCTAGAAAACTTGTTTTCACTCTGCACTGAATACAGCATCGTACAAATTCATACATGAACATGTGCACTGTGCCATGTAGGAAAGAATAATCATTCTTAGCAATGCATTTGACAAAATACTAACCTTTTCTTCAATGGCTTGCAGAACAGACATTGTGTATTATCAGATTGGTTAATCTCCAGAATTTCAAACACTGATGACAGTTTGCCCCTATCCTGCAACGAAAATAAAAATTGAAAGTAATTGAAAGTATTAGCATTGAGGTGAAATAAGGTTGCATCCTTTTCCTATCTATAGGCTATATGTACCTGTAAATGAACATCTGAATTTTTAACAAATGATAATTAATTAGCTACTGGAAGACAATTTCTAGAAACTATTATATGACTTCTGAGAAAATCAGGTTAACCATCCATGTTTTACCACTTGGAAGCCATCAAACTGTCGTCCCAATCAGGTCATATCCATGTCTTTACATTTATGAATGTCAAAGCTGAGCTGCATGGTAAACATTAAATCAAAGCCTGCGTTGTGTGTTAACGTGCCCCTTCCCTTGTTCATAGAGGCAGGCTATGTTAAGTGGAAAACATCCTGTCCCTCGGATAGGACGTTAAATGGAGGCCCCGTGTAGAGGAGAGTCATTATCTTTGCACGTTATGAATAAGGCTGTTCATAGACGTGTAATGAGGTACTCGAATACACTCCCAGGCATACAGGCGAATACTTCAATATTCGGATGCCATGTTTTTTTTTTGAAGTTTTTTTTTGGTTTTGTTGTTGCCACCACCATACCACGGGAGAAGTATCCCAAGTTCGTCTCCGAAAACTCTAGCAATTTTACTTCGAGTTGCAGTTGAAGGCGCAGATTTAATAATAATAATAATAGTAAACGATGCTGTTTTATATAACCAAAGAGGACAGAATAATCCATTTTCCTCCGAGTCCAAACAGAAATCCGGACATTTGGTCACAGTTTCTGAGTGGTGAGTTGACAGTGATTGAGCTGGGAAACATTTTTACCCGCGGTACCAGTGCGGCGCTACCTCCTGGGCACGGTTGAGCGTGGGTCTGGACAGTGCCAGGCGCTGGCAAAAAAAAAGGCCGAGTATTGCACTTTACACAGGCTTGCATCAAAAACTGCTGGTAATTTTCAAGTTTCCAATGTGTACAGGTTTGTATCAGTGTCAGTTCCATGTTCCATATCCAGGGGGAGTGGCACTTTTGAAAGACAAAATTAAATTTGAGGTTTTTGCCGATCTCAATCAGCATGAAAAAGACAGTACCTGTGTGAATAAGTTTATTTTCTGTATGGTATTTTTCTTTTTTAAAAACATTTTCCATTGTTATTTCTATTTTTCGGGAGAGGGAGGGAGGGGGTCCAGCGATTATTAGACCTCAAGAGAAAGGATATGAACAGATGCATTCTGCCTTTGAATTCATATCTGATTTTCCTGATGCTTTCTTTTACCGTTTAGATATATGAAAAACAAACATGAGGTAACAAGGTAACCTCCGCGATTACCTAGTGTCGTCCTTTGTCCACTGCAGATCTAAACGCTCGCATCACGAAGGACAAAGCAAGAACACAAGGTAAAATTCACTCTAGCGGTCTAGCACGACAAGGCACAACCTCAGGAGGCAACCAGTGTGATCCGTTGAGCATAGATCTAAACGCTTGCGGGATAGAAACCGGCGCGCCCTTGCTCCACATACGTGATCGGCCGTGAAGATGGATGTAAACAATAAGGTCTATTTGGCGAACATGTATAGACAATAACAACTTGTTTTACCTCTATGTAGATTTTGCAATAACATTGAAATAAAAACATTCACACAAAACCTTGATTTAAAATTTGTCTGATGAATGTTTTGGGTTTTTAAAATAATATATTCCATGTAGACATTGTCAATGAGCGGCGCTGCCTGACGAATGTTTCTCTTTTTAAATAGTTTGTACAGCTGTAGCGATAGCGCAAGATTTTTCACTGTGGACACTTTACCATAACAACTAACCTCGAAATTACAGCAGACGTGCATTGTAATTTAAACGGCCCTCTGCTTGTTACCTCGTATTTGAGAAGGAATGTCACCCTGCATTTACCTCAGACAGTCGCCTGGTGTTCAAGTTCAAGTTCAAGTTTTATTTATCTTTCTTTCATAACACTGGGTGATATACATAGATCTAGATCTTCTTCTTCTTCCATTGGAGTACATCCCTCTTTACAGAGTTTTGTCGTATTATACTGGGGTGTGCATGTGGACCATTACACCGGGGATTCCCCTACTCTTATACGAATAGTGCAGTGGGTTCTTAACGTGCAAAGGTAGTGACTCTCCTCTACACAGGGCCTCCATTTAACGTCCTATCCGAGGGATGGAGTGTTTTCCACTTAACATAGCCTGCATCTACAAATAGGGTGTCTGAACGATTTTTCAATTTTCAATTTGGGATCGTTTTTCACCATTTTTGTTTGATATTTGAATAAAAAATGTTATCAGAATAATACATTTCAAATTTCAAGTCTCACCGATGTTTCTATCAAAAGTTACAGCCCCTCCAAAACGCTGGTATATTCATATCATTTTGGTCAAAATTGACGAAAAAGACGTCCACGCAGAGTGATGTTGTTTTGCTAAATTCAGACAAACAGCTGTATCGCGCGATATGCAAGCGTATGCATATAGTACGCATGTTGCTAAGCCAATGCGCGACTTGCAGCTTGAGCCACGCTGTCACCGCGATATGTGCCATTGACTAGTATGGTTGGCAATTCGCGCCGTAGAACCCGGAAGTGAATACACGTTGTAGTCAAAGGCAATATCGCGGAGACAACGCACGTTGTCTCCGCGATATTGCCATTGACTATAACGTGTATTCACTTCCGGGTTTATCGAGGGAATTGCCAACCATAATTTCAGTCACTATAATGTGTAATTGAATTTGGGGTTTCGTTCGTGCGCGGAGATGTTACGCGATGTAACCATGGTTTGGACTGAACGGAGCGCACGCCCCCTAATTAGCTGATCCACCAAATAGCGAGAAGGGTATTTTTAAACTGTTATCAGTTGTGATCCCTGGGGGCTAGCGAAAATATAATCACATAGAATTGTTCCTTAGGACTGGGACTACTTATCGATCGGGGCGTCATATCTCAAAAGTGACAAACCTCAGAGTTAGCCAGGACACAATGTTTAAATTGCTGTTTTGACCAAGATATTTTTAGAATTTCGGGGGCTACGCCCCTTTGGAAATATTGGAATTCACCTGCTCTTTCATATGACACCTCATTTATTGATTATCACCTTCAGGATCACAACAGATAAAGGTTTGAATCTCGATTTGAAAAAAAAAAATTGACTTTTTTTGCATGGTCGCGCAATGCACGTAGACTGCATAGGGATGCGTGTAATCTCTGTGGGAAGAATTTTAGCACACAACATCGGGTGCGCGATCAGACACCCTACTACAAAACAAGTTAACACACAACGCAGGCTTCAGTCATCCGCCTTGGTGGTGGGATTCGAACTCGAGATATCCGGTTTGACAGGCAGACGCTTTACCGACTGAGCCAACTCACCTCCTTCTCATAAAAACAGGGTCTAAGAATTATATGGCTTGGTCTCATTTCTCAAAACTTTCGGTCTATGACTAGTACGAGTACGATTGTACGAACATATCAGACTCAGAGTCAGACGCGAAGCTCAATTATCAACTGAAATAAGAAAATTGGATATGACAATTGATACTGATGTCGACATCACGACTTAAGACAGTGTTAATCGATACGATAGATACATAGGTCTAGTCTTGTGCCTTGCCCTTCGCACCTTGGCCTTGCAATCTTTTGCATAAAATAAATTCAAAATGTAAAAAAAACTGATCACTTCATTCAAATTTCAGACATTTATGACACAGCAGCATTGTTACTTCATTACCGTTTAAAGAGTAACAAATGATCTTTCAAGGTTTTTAAATGGTTTTTATTACTAATTTACATGAGTGACAGTCTGACAGTGAGAGTCGGCTGAAAAACTCAGAGGGCCCTTTCCAGCACACACACCCATTAATCAACCAGTCAACACGGAACCTCTAGGGGAGGGAGCGGGCGTTCACTATCCGCAGGTCGCCGCACATACACACAATGCATTTACATTTACCTCGGTAATTGAGGTTGTTATTTAATTTTCAACGTTATAAAATCAGCTAATCTAATTCAAGGAGTCTCTTTACCTAGAGTCACATCTCAAATATACATAGAGACCACTGAAATGCCTACCTTTCCTCAAGAAAATAATGATTTATGATTTTTGCCGGTCCGGTATCTCTATTTTCCTGGCATTATTACACACCGTCGCGTGTGTATTTTGCCAATATGGTGGACATTGAACCGAATCGCTGAAACTGCAAAGAATGTTCATCCGCTGATCATTAATGTCAAAGATAATTAGGATTTCATCTAATTTTTCCAGTTGAAAAATACAAAAGAGGAAATTAAAATAACATTGAAGCCGATTTCGATGGGACATTAGTGAAATGCATAACATTTGAGAACTATTCTATCATGCGGACGTACACAGAAAGTCCACAAGTGGATAAATTCGTGGCAGGAGTGACGTCACTGCGAGCTATCCGCGCGCCCTCTTGTACCCTCCCACTTTGCTATTTGCAGTTGTCTGCTCTTATCTTGGGTTAATAATAACATAAATTATGAAATATCTACACGTCTCTGTTCAAAATAACGATCACATCATTAAATATCATACTATTATCTTAAGAATTTTTCATCATACACTATAAATTGTATAGTGTATACTCTAGTCCTTAGCTCATGTTTATTGTGTTTTAGAAATATATATATTGTGTCCCAGTATTATACTTTGTTTTATATATCTTTTTGTATTGTATTGTAAATATGTTGTGTTCTCTTACCACTGAAGGGGATCGATAGAGTCAAATAAAATCTAAATAAAATCTAAATCTAATCAAAGTCGATGAATAAATATATTCAGAGTATCAAACTATCATGATTTATGATCGCGATCGAGCAATTCACAAACCTTATAAATTAAGCTTTATAAAACAAAATATATATGTATATCGATCCAATGGTGAAATATATTACTAATTGAGTAATAGTACGCAAAGGATTTATCGTACAGGACGTGGACTTCGGAGATTGAATATGTGGATGCCTAGATACTACCAGGGATCAATTATATACCTCCTAGCTGCCAAGTTTTTGGTGTATAGTCTTTGTGAAGTATATAGCTGCTTTAGCTACATTTTGATAAAACACGTGTTATTAGTAATGATTCACACAAAAATACAACACCTTAAAGAATATCCTACCACATTTCTTTTAATGGTTAATAGAAACAAATGCACTGTTTAAAACTTCAAACATATCGTTTAAGTTTGTTTGATTTGTAAAAAATATGGTCTGCACATACAGACTATACACACCGATAACCTCAGGCGCAGGACGGGCGCAAGCCTGGGGAACTCCCTAGCCTAGATGACCCTATACGCGCAACTATTCTGTTTTTATTCAGATTTCTCAGGTTTATCTGAATGTATAGGCCTTTGATATGTAAGGTTATTATTAAATACATGATTGACTATACGAAGTGATATAGATTCTAGGGCTGAGCCTACCAGAGTCTTAAACTCTAATTTTTTTACAGAAAAAAATGGCTTTGTATTATATATTTATAATATATATCGACAATTACAGTATATCTAAAAGATCTATTAGTCAGTTATTGCTACGATTCCCAAATGGAGACTTGGAATTTAATCTCGGGCCGGGACCTACGGACTGATCGGACATCAACCCGAGACCGAACATAATTATAGACTAGTCTTACTAGATACACTGGTCAACAAACGGTACGGTGTAGGTCCCAAAGTGGCTAGCTCAACCTTTTAATCATTATACAAATTAAGTACTCAAAATAATGGTGGGAAGATGAGTAGTGGGAGCGAAATATTTTGCCCTCATGGCTTGAAACACTAAAAATATGCATATGAGAATAATGAGAGTTCATATGAAATCAGAGTTATGTCATATATCATGTCATAATATGATAATCTAGCTCAAAATGAATGTATAAGAATGCCAGTTCGCAAGTGCTCCGATCCAAAACGTAACGGATTTTTATGACTCATCTTTTTATTAATTAATTGAAAATCCTTGAATAATGTGTCTTAAATGACATCCGAGTCTGTCACATTATGACACAATTAAAGTGAATGTTTGCCATCAGTCAAATTTGCAGTGCTCCCAAGTCCCAACACTTTTAATTAGAGGATAAACATACAGCATAAGGACTGCAAAAACCTGAGCAGTATGCCCCATGTGAGGATCGAACTCACGACCTTCAGATTATGAGACTGACGCGCTGCCTACTGCGCTAACGAGGCTGCTGGTAAATTATGTGCAATCGCTTTTCAGTTCTCCTAATCGTTTGAGAAGCATTCGAACAGAGCTTGGTAATGGGACAAACTTTCATATGAAAACAAATTGGTTCAAAAGCTTCCGGCCACGTTTTCTGGTTTTATTTTTGTAGAAGGGTAGTACTTTGTACTAGCTTGAACCCCCCCCCCCCTCCGAAACTGTAACTTATAGCAACAGAAAGAAAGAAAAAGGTTATAAACACTTTAGATTAAGAAGAGGCGGCGGTTGGGGGAGGGGGGGGGTTGGGGGCACAGTGTACCATCCCCCACTGTTTCAAATAAACCAAAAGTGCCCCTTTTTCTTTCTTATAGGTGCCCCTTCCCCCGTTATATGCCCCTTTTCTCCTTCTTATCACTGCCCCTTTTCAGATGCGAGAAGTGCCCAATTTTACCTCTGATAAGTGCCCCTTATGCTTTAATAAGTGCATTTTTTTCTATTCTTACAAGGGCCTCCTTTACTTTGACACATGCCCCTTTTGCTTTCTAATAAATGAACTTTGCCCTTCCTAGAAATGCCCCCTTTTCAAGTGTACTTTTCAAATCTGACCCCCCAAAATGCTTCTTCTATCATGCCATATCTGTCCTATACGACATATCTCCTTCATTTCCCATTCCTGTCTCTCTCTCTCTCTCTCTCTCCCTGACCCCCCCCCCCCCCCACCTCTCTCCTCCATCTCCCCCTCCCCCACCTATCTCTCTCTCTTTCTCTATTCACTTTCCCCTCACCTCAGTCCACCTCCTCTTCTCTCCTTTCCTCCACCTCATCTATCTCCACTTCTCCCTCAACTTTCCTACCTCTACCCCCCCCTCTCTCTCCCTCCCACCTTCCTTATCTCCCTCTCATAATTAAAAATATCGCAACCACTTTGAGACTCTCATTCATATCCTTTCCAGATTATAAAAATTAAATTTGCATAATAACGCACAAACAAACAAAATTTAGCTGAAGTATGTATCATACAAACATATTTAATATATGACTAAGTTCTTTGTAGAATGTCAAACATTGATTCATTTCATAATTTAATTCCTATTCACTTAACTATCATGGCATTATATTCGGAATATCATCCTCACGAAGTGCAATGATCTAGTCTACTAACCTAAAATACTGACAACCAATTCTATATCAATTCCATATCACTCTTCATTTGAATATCACATTTGGTCAGGGATACACAACTTGATCGTGAGATTAACAGAAACTACTTTATTTGTTAAACATGGATTAAAGCAAAATTGAGAGCCAGTGCACCTTACTGTCCAGATTAGTCATCAAAATACCATCAAATTTATGTCCTCATAAGAATGTAAATATTGCATACTGAAACAAGATCAAAACCATCTACTGTTGCATTCTTGCAGCTGGAAAAACTGCTGCAGACTTGACAATTTGACATATGCAAGAAAGTTCCTGTGTTTGATACAGATATTGTCAGAAACTCAGAATTATAACAAAAACAATTTACGGTAAATATAAAGTCATCACAAGGTAATGTACAAAGCAATTTACAAAGATTTTCATGAAATCAGCTGAGCGCCAATGTCCATACCCAAGCACGTTGCCTCTAGAAATCATGTTCAAATGACACAATGTCAGTGTCATGTTTACACATTTCAATAGGTGAATTGGCATTGCCATAGGTTTACGTTTCCAAAGTCCTTGCGCTCATGTTTAGGCTTGTTCATATACATGTGCTGTGGTAAACTATGCTGGTTTACGGTACTACCGGGGTCTTTAAGCGTTTAAAAAACGCATCTTTGTACTTGTAACACTGAGAGAACTAGCAGGAATTTTGTTTTTCACAGTTACCTTTATCTTTACCCCATGAGCCATTCATTTAACAAACAAAACAACAACAAAAAACACCTGCATAATGCATGGTGGTTTACCATGACATTATGTAAACATGCCTTTACATTGCATTGTGACAGCAAGAAGGATGTGAACACACTGATGTCCATTAATGCCCTTCTGATTCTTAAATGACTACATATTCAAGTAATAATTCAACCTCTTCTTCTCTAACGTTGTGATTCTAGTCCGACTTGGTTCACAGCTTATACCAAGGAGCTTCAAAGAGCTTAGACTTGCTTATACCAGGAGATAACAAGTATATATACAGTGCATCCCAGAAAAAACAAAACCAAGAATTATTTGATGTTTTATCATAACTTAATCACAATTATAATTGATAAATGACACCTATTTGTAAAGCTTAGATGCTCTCTTACATGTGATGCAGCTCATATGATGCATATTTTATGCATGATTGATTAAAACATTTTAAAGAGAGGGTATCAAAAAGTCATTTGGGGGCAGTATCTGAATTTCAAAGAGAAAATCGCATATCTAGAAAGTTCATTTTCTGCCCTTTCATATGACACCTCAATCAGAAAAAATGAGCCAGGAATAACAAAGTTCTGTTTGTTTAAAGTAATGCTTGCATTTCCATAATGTGATTAAACAAATTCATTTCCACAGGATGCCTGCCGTAGCAACGAACAGAGTTGACAAAAGACTTAATTCCGTTTCGTTGACGATCAGCCATGTACAAAGAAGACAAAAGATTTGATGCATGGCTGATCGTCAACGAAACGGAGGGGCAATAACTCATAAACTTAATCACAGAGTTATCATAGAGTTGATGCCTTTCTGATATGGTCTTAGACTTTCTCCATTGTAGAAGCATCCAAAGTGTACATTTTACCAAACTTGTGACCTCCCTCATCGGCATCATTGACATTGGAATGACTTTTGAACTAAACACTTCGAAAAGAGAAAGAGAGAGACACAGCAAAATACTGATTCTCTTACGTTATGGAACTAAGCTTTGACGATTTGATACGAAACACAATAACGATTACAAAATGGCACTTGATCATATTGAAATCACATACGGTAATTGACAGCGGTGACAACATAATATAACTAAAACTAATATTGACAGTAGACTCTGAAGAATACAAGTTAATGCCCTTCTGGTTCTTAATCAATGAAACTGTGACTAATGATACAGTGAATAACGATACATTTCCAAACTAACAAATTAGTTTGTCACACTATTATAATTCTTCTAAACTTGCAGAAACAAACTTGTTTTGTTCGATGCCAAAATTGCAGGCTCTCTATGATCCATCATAAGAAGAATTTAGAAAAAAGAAAATAATACAAATCGAAGTATGTAATAAAGAGTACAATACATATAGCAGACTAAGGACAGGTCCGTACAATAAGCCATTATCTTCATGAGAGTTTATTAATTTTCATGAACAACTATGCAGATCGTTGCAGGGTAACTGATTTAAAATCACGCAAATACGAGGTGGCAAAAATGTGAATATATATTTATGGCATGTAATACCATGAGAAAAAAAAGTCGAAAATAATCCCCCAATTATCAATGAACAATGTTGGTGATTTAGCACCAGTGAGTGATATTAATTGCTCCTGTTTTATCACGAATTGTCCTTAAGTCAAGGGCATCATCTCTCCATTTTCCAAACAATAGAACCCATAATTGGCCGTCATGAACTGTTTAAATTCTAAACGGAGATTAGAGGAAATATCACAACATCATTTTTGTGATAGCGAGGTTTGGCTCTTCGGTTGAGCAATAAAATTATGATTTTTAGCAAATATGCATTATGAATTCTGGATGATTTATTACATATCATGACTTTAAACTTAAATTTAATTCTACGGGTTATAGTCTTCTCTTAATCAGAACACTGTGCGCTTAGAAACATCAGTATTAAGCGCCTAATAAATGTTATGTATTATTATTATTATTATTAAACCAGCGGTAAGCTAATATTATATTAATTACTGAACAATCTCTCCTCCTTGATGAGCAATTCCATTTACAGTCAAACCTGTCTTTCATTAAGGCGACCCAAGGGAAACAACAACAAAGTGGCCACTGTAGACAGGTGGCCTTTTAGACAGGTTCCACAACACACATTTCTCTCTCACAGGAGAGATACCTAATGGATGGCCACTATAGACAGGTGGCCTTTATACAGAGGTGGCCACTGAGCATGGGCGTAAATCCTTACGTAATTCCTATTGTTCAGGGGGGATGAATGAATAGATCATTCCCCCCTGAACAATAGGTATTACGTAAGGATTTATGCCCATGTCACTGAGACAGGTTTGATTGTAGATTATGCAGGTCAGCATTATAGTCTTAGGCCGAGTTGGAATCATCAACACTTAACCCACTGTCTACCAAATTCTGTCATTCCCCTTGGCTCAATATAGGAACCACCATTTCCTTTACGCAATGGGTTAATAACTGCATCACATATCTTTCTGGGCATCATTTCAAGAAACTATCATAAGTCCAAGTTCGCTGACTTCCCATTAAAAAGCATGTTAAATTGTCAATTGTAATACACATCTTTCAATTGGATGTTGGTGGACTTGTACATACGACAGTTTCGTGAAATGCTGCTCTGGTTCACAAAAAATATGTCCCATGGAAAATTAAAAAATCAACATTAAAATTAGACTCTCTCTGGATGTTGTGACGCTACCTTTACACTCAACATCGGCTTTAGATACCTTCCTGATAAAGTAGGCATTCATCGTACATCATGAACAGTTCTCAATTTGTGTGTTAAGCTCTAGATTTTGCCACTCTTTCGTGATGTCACCGAGATGGGTATCGAAATCAACCAGCTCGTTGTATGCTCTTGATCTCAGGAGATCGGCTGTGACTCTGAGTGTGGTGTCGCTGTTATCCAACTTCAGGCTACTGCATTTCAGGATGGAAAAAATGGAAAGTTTCACATATGTGTCATAGTTGTTCAACCAGACTCTCAGAATGCAAATAAATGAAACTTTACAGAGGACGAAATTATACAACTTTTATTATAATCAGGTCAGATTCTTCATTTCAATACACAATAACTTTTAATTAAAAACTATGAAAAACAGCCTTTTGTTTTCATATCACTCAAAGATTACTTGTAATTATCTATACTTCTAACTCATGCTAGCCTTCTTTTTTTTTTTATGTTAATAAAAATCTTTGGATCCTTGAACTTCTGACATTATTACATTTATAAGTGGACACAGACTGAGGTCAGACTGAGGTCAGACTGAATTAACGATGCTGAACAAACAGCCAACGTCTTTTCCTCACCTTGCTTGAGCTCCACGATAACCCCACTTGCCATCCTGTAGCGTGTGGAGTCTCAGGACACACTTTTCACACCCAGCTGTTAATTTTGTGTTGTCAATCTGTCCGAGAAAGAGAAAATAGTGATAAGAGAGAGTTAGTGAAATAAAGCGCTTGATGGAGCCAGGTGTTTGCACAGTGAAACCGGGGAGAAGAAAATTATGAAAAATCAACAAAGACAGTTAGAGACCTAGGAATAATCTGAAATATGTTTATAAAAAAGATGTACAAAAGCTCACCTTATGATAAAAAAAATCATCATTCAAGTTTGCTTAAAGGGAAAGTCCACCCCCAAAATAAGTTTGTTTCGATAGAGGCAGAATAATAAGAAAATCAGGTGAGTGAAAGTTTGAGCAAATTCTGAATGAAAATAAGAAAGTTATGAATTATTGAAGTTGTGATCAATCAAATACAAATTGGCAACTCTGTGACTTATTATACGAGCTCTCCTTCATTTGCTTTGTGCATAATATTCCATAAAATCATGTTTTCTTCGTTATTGATGACGGAATATATATTTGTTCCTTGCAGGGGGAGTATAAAAACATATTTGCAATTATTATATTTAGGGTGCATGTAAGGTTGAAATTTTTCTTGAGGGAAAATGAAAATTTTAGATTTTTTTAGTACTGAGCAAATGGAAGTTGAGCTCGCATGATACGTCATAGAGTTGCCAATTTGTGTTTGATTGATCACAACTTCAAAAATCCTAACTTCCTTATTTTTAATCGGAATTTGCTCAAACTTTCGCTGACTTGTTTCTCTCATTTTTCTACTCCTATTAAAACTAACTTAATTTCAGGATGGACTTCCCCTTTAAGCTGTAGAGATTGAAGTAATATGAAAAATAAGGAACAGTATTGATCGTTTTCTCCACTTGGATTTGTAAGTTGTATTAAAGGTACATCTAAAGCTGAAGTAAAAGAAAAAGAGAAAATCAACTTTCAGAATCACTGTGCATAACTCTTCAGCATCCCTTCTCTGAGCGATTCTATTGTTAAAGAGGGCAAAGTACAGGTGTAATTAAAATTTAAAATAGTCTGGGCTGTTTCATGTTGATCAGGCATCAAGAGGAAGGGAATTTGGGCAATAGGCCATCTTCATAATCGTAAAACATGAAATGTATGCAATTCACATTCTGAATGTTGAAATACAATTCTTTGTGACAGGTAAATGGAATCATTTGTATCAAGGCACTTCTCAAAGATGTACGCAATTAATTTGGTTACCAGTACATTACAAAAATGGCTTATTTAGGGGGTAAAGGGGTAACAGTGGTGAGGACCGATTTCGATAAAGCTGGCAATTCTCACCATTAAAAGACAGGAATCTGAAGAATTATCATTTATTCTGTCTGCTATCCTCACTGCTATTGAATCTGGCCTGTAAACAAAACAACAGAATTTCACAGTTAATCAAATGTGAGTTTTATATCATCATTTCTAATTGAAAAAGCTGTATTCAAGAAATATTATGAACAGCATTAAAGCATGTCACTTCACATCGGTCCAGTGAAAAAAAGCTCCTGTTCAACAGAAACATTTTTGTTTAAAGATGAAGTTGAGTTCTGGTCATGCGATTGCATTGTGAAAGAAACGGTGTGGAACCGACCAGTAAAGGTTGATCATCTAGCATAGAAGAATTTGTGTGTATTGCAAGGTTCTGGAAACATCAAAATGATAAGAAATTTGGCCAAGTCTTGGTAAAGTTACAAACACTTGCACAGAAAGATGTATATGGGACTACACAAACACGTGGCGTAAAAAGCCGCCCCCCCCCCCCCCCCCGATTTTTACAATGTTACATGTATATTTAGAATATGAAGGCATTTGAAGAGCCATGCTTTTCAGGGAACATGTCTTAACTGATGTTCTTCCACACTTGCATAATAAGAATGAGTAATGCTCACAAATTATTTTTCACCTCTTCCCAGAACTCAACCTTCTCTTTAAATGACATGTTTTTTTAATGAGCAATCATGCCAGAGTTACATTACAAAATCACCAATTTGAATATAAAAAAACACAAGGACAGGAAAACGGTTATAGAGGCCATAGAAATCTACTTTCATATTGTTTCCTAAAGTTTGTTAAAACATTCAGTAATCTGTTTCTTTGCACTTACCGGTACTATCAAGTTTTGATTTATCATTAGAAATGTGAGTTGTACCATTTCTAGCTCTAGAAAATCATCTAAATGGTAACAATGTAAGGCAAGCTGTATTTTTTGTCTGTAATTAAGGAATATTTTGGTTTAAAAATCATTAATGATTTTCACCAGCATCTCAACTGTAGTCTTTGACAAAGATAGTTTGCTCATTATGCAACTTACTCTAAATCTTTCAAGAGTTCGTTGGCTTGGTAGTATGCTGCGATTTTGAGACCTTGTGCCTGGCAATAAGCATCAACCTGAAAATTGAGATCAAAATAAATAACAAAAAAAAAGTTCCAGCATTAAACATACCAAGCATACCAAGTATCTGTACTAAAAATCGTACATGTAAAATTGGTCGTATACATTCGACAGCTGAAAATGACGCGCACGGTTGCATTGCGTGCGTTCTCGAATCCAAAATCATACCTCACACACACACTCTCGCCATACCGCGAATGGTCCGTCGTGGGGAGCTAGCCGGCTGAGAGTTTGCAACGATACCAACGCAGCTTCGGAGCTCCGCAGAGCGCCATTTTAGCGGGACTCGGAAAGGTTCGAGGTGGGAAGGCAGCGGCCTAGCTTTTTGCCCAAACAACGCTAGATCGGCTGCTGGCAAAATAACTACGATCGAGAACATCGTCGGTTTCTTAACTTTTCAGTGAGATCATTCTGAATTCTAATTGAGACTATATAATAAATTAAATCGACAAAGAAACCTCGGTAGAACTCTTATAACTATACAAAAGCTTGTTTATTTCTTCATTTGACATTTTGTTTTTGACCATTTTTTCGTGCGCGAGTCAATGCAAACTATGTATTACCAAACTTTCAGCAAGGAACGGGGAACACTCGCGGACCTCGTATCAAATTCGTTGCAAAAAAAAAAATCAAGGGTGATTTTGTAGCAGTGAAGAATATTGGCGCTGCAATGCGCAGAAATATACTTGAAAGAAACTTAAAAAATCATACCTGAATTTTCAGAAAATCGTATTTGTATTAGTGTACCTAGATGTGAATTGTTTATAACTCAGATTTTATGAAGATTTGTCGGGAAAAATGTCAATTTTTTCCGTTTGGTGGTCATTTCTAGGCTAATATTTAAAAAGTTACTTCAGTAATGGTCCCGATGTTTCTCTTATCATACTCGCATGTTATTCCTACATAGATTAAACATAGGATGGTTAAGGGTAAGACCGGATAACATTATAAAAAAGATATATCCTTCCAACCTCCCATATCCAAGTTTTGGGCTGATTATTGCCGACCCACCGCAGCAAGGCCATTCAGATTTTCGTACGCGACCGAAGCGCCCTCTAGTGCCCCATGAATGTGCCTAACTGAAGACGTACTAAAGTGCCAATTATTTAGTGAATTCTGGTGATTTTTTGTTTAAAGTGATGTTTTAAAAATTTGAGAATCAATAGAGGGTGTTCTTAAATTTTTTCAGCACAAAAAGTTAACTATTGATAATGCTCCCAAATCCCAATGTAATCATTATGAGTGCAGTGCCTGTTGTTGTATGCACACAATTCCGAACGAACACTGCACTGCACAAATAACAATAGGTGGGACTCCATTCATACATTACCTGAACAAGAGCTACCTCCAGCATCGGTGCAAGTGCAAGCGAATGATGAAAAAATGGTACGCAATCTACGAATTCCAAACACCTCCCATCCTTCAGCTTCTCTTTATCAGCAAGTAAAACTCCATTTACGGCACAGTGAGGATATTTTGCGGCATGGAGGATTGCTTTAGCGTAAGCTTGCAGTTTCACTTTGTATTCTGCCATGTTGAACTGCTTTAATTTGATATGGTGTCTCTAGAAAATTAAATGTTATAGAAAATTGAGATTTTATCACATGATTATGGCGGATCAAGAAGATGGGGGAAATCACGCAACCTTTTTTCTGAGTAACTTTCCTGTAAATATCAGGCGCGGATCCAGGGGGGGGGGCCGAGCGTGCCTTGGCCCCCCCCCCCCCCCCGCAAAAAAAAAAAAAAAAAAAAAAAAAAGGAGAGAAAGAGAAGGAAAAGAAGGGAAAGAGGAGAGAAAGGGAAAAAAGAAGAGGAAGAAGAAAAGAAAAGAGGGAAAAGAAGGAGATCGGGGGGGGGGGGAGGACTTGCCTCCCCCTTCCCCCCCCCACCAATAAAAAAATAAAAGAGAAGGAAGGAAAGGGAAAGAAAAAAGATAAAGAGGAGATAAAGGACAAAATAGGAAGAAGAAAAGAAAAGAAGGGGGATATCAGTTGCAATTTTCCCGCCAACAAGGTGTAGATCGGAGGGGGGGGGGGGGGGGGGGCACTGGCATACTGATAGGAGAGGGGGTTGGAGAAATAGAATTCAAACGCGGTTTATTTATAATTCTCTAACGGTGGTTAACAAATAATGCTGAAATGAGATCATTTTCCTCACTTCATGCGTTTGTTGTAAAATGACAAATTCCTAAATTTACAACAGCCAGGCAAGAAAATGCTTTTTGAGATGCCTACATATCAGGGCCCGCGGAACGGCGGGGATCAGGATCCTCGAGCCCCTCCCCCACACTTTCTTTGAAAAAGTATATTAAAGAGAAATAGAAAGAAAGAGAACGAGAAAGAAAAAATAGTTAACTGCCAGTGACTGCCAGTGTCACATTATAATGGGGTATCAAAACTTTGCTCATCTGACCATGATTAAAATTAATGCCTAAAATCCTAAGGGCTCTGCCCCCTGGATTCCACCTAGGGCCCTAAGGCGGGCCCTTAGATGCTCATATGACGGTCATTTAATGCCTAAAACCCCTGATTTCTGGGGGCTCTGCCCCCTGGACCCCACGCCAAATAGTGTCCTGCTAGTGTCACAAATAATAAGGTATCAAAAAGCTCATCTGACCGTAATTAAACGCCTAAAACCCCTGAGCTTCTGGGGGCTCTGCCCCCTGGACCCAACCAAGAGCCCTTAGGCGGGCCCCTCGATACTCATCTGACCGTAATTGAGTACCTAAAACCCTTGAGATTCTGGGGCTCCGCCCCCTGAACCCCAAGCCAATTAGTGACCTGCCATTGTAACAATTAGGTATCAAATAATGCTCATCTGACCGTAATTAAATGCCTAAACTCCTGAACTTCCGGGGCTCTGCCCCCTGGACCCCGTCTAGGGCGCTAAGGCGGACCCCTGAATGCTAATCTGACCGTAAATTAAAACCTTAAACCCCTGAGCTTCCGGGGCGGACAAGGTATCAACATAATGTTCATCTGACAGCAGGCGCGTAGCCAGGGGGGCGGTGGGGTGGTCCCCCAATAAACGCCGGCCAAAAAAGAGAGGAGTGTAAAGGAAAAGGACGTAGGAAGAAAAGGGAATAGACAAAGAACATATTTGAAATTCAGACAAGGATTAAGAGTCGAGAACGGTACAACGAATCGTCTTCTTTCTCTAATGAATTAATGAAACGTCAAAGCTTCCGCGCTACGCGCGGGGGAGGGCAGGGGGAACTTAATACAGACGAGGATAATTTTCGGGAACGGTACAACGAATCGTCTTCTTTCCATAATAATTTAATGAAACGTCGAAGCTTCCGCGCTTCGCACGGAAGGGGGGGGGGATTGAATTAGATAAGGATTAAGAGTCGAGAACGGTACGACGAATCTTCCTCTTTCTCTAATGATTTAATGAAAAGTAAAAGCTTCCGCGCTTCGCGCGGGTGGGGGAAACTAAGTTATTTTCGAGAGCCTAACAACGAATCGTCTTTATTCTCTAAAAATTTAATGAAACGTCGAAGTGGGGGGAAAACTGAATTTAGACAAGGATTAAGAGTCGAGAACGGTACAACGAGTCGTCTTCTTTCTTTAATGATTTAATGAAACGTAAAAGCTTCCGCGCTTCGCGTGGGAGGGGGAAACTAAATTTAGACAAGGATTAAAAGTCATAACGGTACAACGAATCGTCTTATGTCGCCAATGATTTAATGAAACGTACAAGCTTCCGCGCTTCGCGCGGGAGGGAGGAAGGGAAAACTGAATTCAGATGAGGATTAAGAGTCGAGAACGGTACAACGAATCGTCTTCTTTCTCTAATGATTTAATGAAACGTAAAAGCTTCCGAGCTTTGCGCGGGAGAGGGGGATGAATTAAGACGAGGATTAAGAGTAAAAAACGGTACAACGAATCGTCTTCTTTCTCTAATGATTTAATGAAACGTATAAGCTTCTGAGCTTTGCGCGGGAGAGGGGGTGAATTAAGACGAGGATTAAGAGTAAAAAACTGTACAACGAATCGTCTTCTTTTTCTAATGATTTAATGAAACGTAAAAGCTTCCGCGCTTCGCGCGGGAGGGGAAAAACTATTTTCAGACGAGTAGGCACGTACGGAAGGGGGGGGGGGGGGGGGGAGGGTATTAGGGGGTTGACCCTCCCCCCTTTGGTTTTTTATGTGTGTATTTTGGAGCAACCCCCCCCCCTTTTCTGTGATTTTTTTTTTTTTTTTTTTTATTAAAAAAAAAAAAAAAAAATGCCAATGGCTGACCTAAAAAAGGTGACCTCACCCCCCTAACGGAACAAAATGTCAAATTTTCAAATTTCGAGACCCCCCCCCCCCCCAAAAAGTGTCCTCTTCCCCCCCCCCCCCCCCCCCCCCCCCCCCCCCCCCCCCCCCCCCCCCGCTTATTTAGCGGCTGGCTGAGTCGTTACGATTTTTTTTTTCGGACCAAAAAAAAAAAAGTGGGCCCCCCCCCCCCCTAAGAAATCCTGGATCCGCGCCTGGTAAATATAGCCCACAATCATCACTTACCGACGATGACTAAAGAAGAAGAAGAAAGAAAACAAAATCTGCAAAGATCCCCCCCCCCCCCAAAAAAAAAAAAAAAAAAAAAAAAAAAAAATTGTTTGAAGAGTTAGACAAATATTGATAAAAGAATACATAATTTGGGTTTGGGGCTTTTTTGATGTATGCAGAAAACCTAAATTTCGAATTCTTTCATCAAAATTCGACTTCAAACACATTTGTTTTGAAAATCCTTGCATTTATGTGTAGTAAGTGACATCCTCTTTCGCAGTTATGATAGAATTAAAGTGAAATTTTGCCATCAAATTTTCGGGGCTCCCAAGGTTGAACATGCAGCATAAGGACTGCAAAAATCTGAGCAGTATGCCCCATGTGAGGATCGAACTCACGACCTTCAGATTATGAGACTGACGCGCTGCCTACTGCGCTAACGAGGCTGCTGATATGGGAATTGGCTTTTCATTTTTCCTAATCGTTTGAGAAACTTTGTCTAGATCCGAAGGTCTTTCCAAGTTTTAGTCAGGCTATAGTAGTTCATTGGTTTTTTTTTAACCATTATTATTAATCTCGATGTAATTAGTATCGTAAAAAGCATTATTGATTGTCTTTCCATGCTCACTGCCTTCCATGAGTTTAGTTTTGGAATGGGTCGAGCTTTCGGGATTATATCTCATGAGGATGGGTAATTGTGATCATAAAATAAAACATAATGCATAAATTGTCTTACTAAACTATAATATTGTATTCAGGCGCGTACACAGGGGATAGGGGGTTTGGGGGGTCGACCCCCCTCATTTTGTTTAATGTATGTGTTTTGGAGGAAACACCCCCCCCCCCGGCCCCCCTCCTCAATATATATGACTGTGTTTGAAGACAAATACTGATAAAAGAATACATTATTCGAGTTTTCTGTTGTACGCAGAAAACCAACATTTTGTATTCTTTCATCGAAATTCTGAAAAGAAAAGGGGAGAAAATGGTTTAAAGTATTACAAGTAATATAAATTATTTTCATCCCTGTATCATATTTCAGGTGTGACGTAATATCTTATTTTGTGTCATTCCTGGTTATTGTAAAATCTTACACTCAATTATATGTTACACTATAACTTTGAAATTTGTTATCCAATGTATGAACAAATTGGGAACACTGGCGTACCTATGGGGGGCAGGGGGGGCAGAGTGCCCCCCCCTGACGGGCCCCAAGGGAAAAAAAGAAAAAGGGGAAAGAAAAGAAAAGAAAGGAAAGGAAAGAAAAAGAAAAAAGGAAAAGGGAAGAAAAAAAGGAAAGAAAGAGAAAAAAGGAAAAAAGGGAAAAGGAAAGAAAAAAGGAAGAAGAAGAGAAAAGGAAGAAAAGGGGAAAAGAAAAGGAAAGGAAATTAAAAAAAAGACCATGGCCTTACGCACCAGGGGGGGGGGGGGGCAGTTGACCCCAGATATTTTGAAAACGTACAGTTTTTTTCCTAAAAATGTAGTGTAGGCCTATACCAAATCCTTCAATTCTACTTTTGAAAATGCAAAAGTACCCTCATGACTAGTTCGGTCGCTCGAAGTCCCTTCACTCCTTTTGCTTTTGAGATTCTTCGAAAACTTTTAACGCATCTTTCCCCCTCCCCCACCAGAAAAATATTCCGCATACGTCCCTGAAAAATGAAGACAAATGAAAATAGGAAAATATAAGTGATATAACAAATTCGAAACTCTTCGCTGGCGCGAACTGCTTGCTAGCCTATTTTGTATTAAATGTTTTCACTTGCTCGTCCCCCTGAAAAAAGAAAAGGATTAGCATTGCCTAGAATACAATTGTGCCTGCCCCGACGGGCCCCGACCTGCAACCATGGCAACAATAACACACAATGTATGTACCAAATGTTACTAAAAGAGACTAATTCATTTTTCTCGCTCGCTACACTCGCTCGTGAATAAAATGAATAGACATTGCTTTGGAAACAATTGTGCCCACCCTTGACCTGCAACAATATAATAAAAAATGGAAGAGTTTTTTCGCCCTCTCGCCAAAAAGGAATTGAATCGCGTTGAACGCGATTGCGTTCATCCTGACCTGCAC